AATTTTTCACTGCTGAGATTCAGAGAAATGTTCCTAACATAACTAACCCTATACACAGTCAGCACAGCAGCACCAAAAATCACATGAAACAAGTTGCTCCTCGGAAATAAGTATAATGAACATTACTGCTGCTGCCATTGCTGGCATCTGCTGTAAAGTTAAATTTCTGAAGTTGTTTTTAAACCCGGGATGGACTTTACTGACAGAGAAAAATCATATTACAAGATATAAAATTCTTCTTTTTTTTTTTGGCTGAGGAAGATTTGCCCTGAGCTAACATCTGTTGCCAATCGTCCTCTTTTTTTGTATGTGAGCTGCTGCCACAGCCTGGTCACTGGTAGACAAGTGGTGTCTGTCCGCGCCCAGGAACCGAACCTGGGCCGCTGAAGCCGAGCGCAGTGAAATTAACCACTAAGCCACCAAGGCTGGCCCGAAAATTCTTATCCTTATAGAAAATTGCTTTTCCTATCCAGGGTTACACTACTCTCCAAAATGACAAGTACTTTTGCCATTTGACTTGGGGTGGCATGTTTACACTGAAGCCTATTTCCGAGTTGTTAACAATAGACTTGTGGGAAAAAAACAAAAAAGCATGCTTAATGGCAACCCTAAAACCAAATCTATGAAATCACAAGCACAAATACTCTAACAGATGATTCTGCATACATTCTACGTTCTCTGCGAAGTTTCAAACATGAAAGGAGTGTCTGAAGAGGTTGAGTATCACAGGATTGTTTTTCAAGCAGCCTCACGGAGAGACATTATCTTGATGAATTTTCCACAGTCTACAATTTAGTCCACGGCCTTGCAGGCGCAGAAACTTGATCTATCAGCAAAGCTGGGGCAAATTCACGTCTCAGAGGTAGACTTACAACTCAAAGACCACAAAACACTAAAGACTGACATCAAGATCAAATATATTAATTTACAACGAGAACCATAAATGTCAGATGGACCAAAACACTCCTGGGGGCAAGCCAGCACATTCTCTTTCTGGGGACAGATCTAGACAGAGAGCCAAATCATGCTCAGGAGGTTACTTGGTGATGAAAAAGTGCAGCAAAGGGAACACATTAAATCACTCAAATGCAAGACTAGACTTCAGATTCTAGTTCAACTGCTTCCTGATTTCCCCTGATATTTCACACTAGAGGGAGGTGGCCCACCAGACTCGCCAACAGCTGTGTCCACATCTCTAGGGTGGCATTGACTGGGAACTGTGGACTCATCTGCGTGGCTAATGCATCCTCTTCCAACATATTTTTCCTTTAGACATGTTAATATCTAGTTCTGGGAGACAGTTACCCTAAGATAACATCACTTCTCTGCCAATGCTATTTAAAGGTATCATCAGATTCACCCTTCTTTTCTTCCTTTTTTTTTCTTTTTTTACGTATTTCTTGTTGTCCTTCTTTCTTTTCAATAGACACCACCACCACCAAACAAGTCTAGGTCCTCATCTCCTATGGCAGGGGCCTAACTCAGCTACCTACTTCAAACTTGTCCCATTGCCCAACTCCAGAGATCACTACTATGTAAATCTGCCTGAAATCAGGATTTTATACTTTTCCCATTTTCCCACCTTCACTCAAAAACTGTCAGTGACTCCTACTGCCTTCAAAGTTAAGTTCTAATTGCTTAGCCTGCCACTCAAATTCTTTCATATCTGTGCTCAATTTGTTATCATTTTTATACCGTGTGAAACTTCTACTCCAGCTAATCCTACTACCTCTTAATATTCTCTGTGCACCCCTAAATCCATGCCTCTGCTCATTCCTGGGGTCAACTCAAGATCTGCTTCCTCAGTAAAGATATCTCTAAAAGTCCAAATCTGAAATCGACCTTTCCATTCTTTAGACTTATTTGGTATTTAGTATAGCTGGAAAGTAATTATTCTAGGTAGATATACTATCTCCTTAATTAGAATAAACTACTTAGAGGTGTTATATCCTATTTCTTCAGTGCCTTGATATCAGGTGTATAGAACTGGCCCTGTGCACATGACTAAATGAATGATCTTTCTTCAGAGCCGATGATAGAACTTGAAACGTATTACCCTTCACAGAAGAGAGCTGCTGCCTCTTGAAGCTTGCTTGGATGTTAGTAGTTCATGGCTTTTTCTAGGCCCTTGGAGTGGTTTCATCAAATCAGTGCTCTCCCTTACATCCTCATTTGCTTTCTGCAGTCTTTGATATTACAGCTGAAAACATCTTTCAACTCCTATTAATCTCACTGTTAGTCTCAAAGTATAGTGCTGGCTTAGACTAGACCTCTGATATACAGAGGTTGTAATCAGGACATTTAACAGCAAGAAGGATACGGGAGCTAGTTATATATAAAAGCATAACAAATAAATCCCTTCAATTTGATGGTGGAGTGGATAAAAGTCTTTGGTACAAAAGATGAGAAGGCAAATTTGTAAGGTTTATTGGAATAGCAAAGGGATCAAGAAGGAAATGATCTTGAGTTATTTTAGCTATCATTTAGCTTTCAGCATTCTTGTTGTGGACTAAAACAAGAATGTGGTCTTGTGGTCTCCAGCCTGCCTGGAAAGTGCTTTAAAAAAGACCACCCTCCATTGGTCTCATACAATGAGCTGATTTGCAATGGTATCTAAGAAGACACAGTTTCTTTTATTTCATAACAAAGCACCACCACCCATGGGGAGGACATCCAGGATGTTGTCAACAGGGTCTTCTGTGATTATGAAAGACATGAAAATACACACATCATCTCCTATTTCATAGAATTTGGCAACTCTACATCAGAAATGTTGGGGAACAGTCTGGCTAAGTCTTGAAAGGAGGAATGAGAAACCTAATTCAAAGTGGAATGAAGGTGATAATCTTTCTTAGGAAGGAGGAAATTGCTAGATTAAACAAAGATAATTAAGCCTAAGTTAATTCTAAAAATATAAACAAAATAAAAATAGTTTAATTGTAGTAAATAAAAAAAAAAGCTATATTAAAATGGAGAAAGTAATAATTTCCTCAGTAAGAAAGAATTAATTCTTAGAGATAGGAGATCAAGAAAGAATTTGTAAGGTACCACATTGTCCTCCTAATATTAAAATAAAATTTGAGACTAATTATGCTTACACTGAATAAAACATATATTCTATTGTTTAATATATAGATTAATGTAAGATATTGGAAAGGAGAATTTTGTTAGATTTAACATTAAAAAAAATAAAAAAATTTTTTTTAAACTTTATGTTCCCAGGAAAAGGATTTTCTATTAGTGAGTGTTGATTTCTTTCTTTCTTTGCTGGGATGGAATCCTAGAGTTTTAACTGATCTTAACATAGACTCATAAAAGTGGACGGGAACATGGAAGCCATTTCATACATTCCCGTGACTTCCCAGCATAAGCTCACTGAGATCAGGCTAAAGAGGGACGATGGTTTCTTGTTATCTGTAAATATGTATAAAAAGGAGCTTCCATAGTTTCTTAAAAACCTTGGTCAATCTACAAAAACAATGTGGATTTTTAGCCAATATTTCACATTTTTACCTATGGCAATTCTCATAATACATAGGCAAGATTTGACTCTGAAGTAATGAGCTTATAGGATGCCCATGAGAGCATATTTTACCATCTTATGATCATATAATCTATTTAGTCTTATATCTAGAAATATGGTTTTTGTGTTAAAATCTAGTTTTTATGTTTGTTTGTTTGTTTTTTAACAAAATATTCCATTTACCAACACAGTGTATGCCACATTGAAACAGTACACCTGTTCGGAAGCAGAGCTGGTGGGGGAAGATTTAAGACTGCCCATGTCCTCTAGACTTCATCTGCCTTCTGAGAATCTCATCCTGGCCTTTAGATTTTCCTCACTTTGAACAAGAACATAAATTCCTCACTTTCTGTGAGAACTATCTTCCTGAGGAAAAATGTGCTCATTATCTACCTCACACATCAAAACAGACTTTCTAACCTTCACTCAACTTCCCATGTACCTACAGAGTAACCTAGATTTTAAAATGAATTATTCCACAAATCAAAAAATGTAGGAAAGCAGATTTTAAGAAGGCAAGCTTTCTATTCTAAGGGCTTTTTTTTTTAAATTACATTCTCTAATTATTTGACAGTATATTTTGATTCTGAAAATTTAAGTTACTTTAGAGGTACTTGGGCCTTCAAATGTTCATATTGCCTGCTGATTTTCAAACCAGAAATTAATCAAAAGACAATAAGAAATTAAAATATCACCTTGAAGCTCACTATGAGAATTGTTTCTATTGTACAGAATATCTATCCAATAAAGTGTAAATGGTTTTAAAACCTTTAAAGTCTATGGCTACAATTATCGTTTCTCACTTGGTCTCATACTTTAATTTCTCCTAAGAAACGTGGATGGATGTACCTGGTTGCACACATTTGTTAAATTTGTTAATTCATGTTCCTATCCTCTTATAATCAATTTTTTGCAAATTGAGCAAAGCAACAACAATTTCACCAGGAAAACACATGCCATAAATCTTAATATTTGACACATTGTGTTTTATTTTATAATCAAGTGGTTAATCTTGGTAAAACAAAAGCTGTGAAAAACAAAATTTTCAAATCTTCTCCGCTAACAATTATTTTACATATAACTAAAGATTTGATTTAAAAATCATAAAAATTCAAGTACATGTTAAAGGACAATTGAAGTGTGATCAGTAATTGAAACCTCTAAAACTATGGCTTACAAAATTAAATATTTAAAGTTTTAAATTATTTATTGATAGAAATATATATTTAATAGTAGTTTCCATTAATCTATTTTGCAATGATACCTTGATTTTACTAACCCAGACATTTACACAGCAAACTAATTTTCTTTTTTATGAAGCTACGAAGTGAGTTAACAAATATTTTCCATACAGAGAAGTTTACAAAATAATCACTTTGAAGCAGTCCATAAAGAAAACATGGCATATTTTTTTGGACTGTGGATCAAACGGTAGTTAAACTCAACTGGAAACAAGAGAGTATGACGGTAAACATACCTTGTCCTTGGGTTACTCCATAAAATTCAGCTGCTATCCTGGCCGCTTCCTTGCGGTTGCCTTTCACAATGTAGAAGTGACTGAGGATGGCAAGGCTGATTTTCACAAAAAGCTTAAAACAGAAAAGTGAAAGTATCGTAAAGTAGACATTGGATAACTGTTGAGCAAATGGCCGGCTTTCTTCTAACACCGACATTGCTGCACTACAATCTGCAGCGGCCACTGGTTAGATCCAAGTCTTAAATGTGCCTGGCTCCGGTCCGGGATGCTCCTGAACAGCTGGTCCTGAGGAAAGAAAATATCAGCTGGTAATGATGCCTCCAGCTCAAAATATTTATACTGTCCATAAAAGTTCTTTGCAAACTCCTATTGGTCTGACAATATTCCATGGAAGCAACTGCAACACGTGCCCCATTGCAAGACTCCTGACTTTCCATTCTCCGTCTAAAATGACACCCCACCTCTCTGCTCTGAATTTCAAAATCTAGGTATTGAAATTTGTATACCGATTATTTCCTTTTTTGGTATCTAATGATCATAAACACTTTGAGGATTTTGTGTATGGGGTTCCTGTTGTTATTGTAAATGATATTCATAATAGCAAGGTAAAATTAAGTTCATCAATGGAAGCCTTTTAAATGGTCCTAATTGTAGACCACGAACTAACTCATCAAATAGTCCATGGCATGATGATCTTAAGAACTACTCATCAAAGTAGCCAATTCTGTTGCTTTCACTGCTGTCAGAAAAAACTTTTTTTTTATAAGTGGATAGACTGGAAAACCATAGAATAATAACTTTAGACTCTTCATTCATCCAGTGAACACTTTTTAAGCATCTACAATGTGTCACACGTTTTGCTGGATGCTGGGGAGACAAAGAAGAATGTAATGTCTCTGCCATAGGATCTCATAGTCTAGAGGAGGAAACAGACGAGACATCAGATAAATACAAGTGAACACAGAGTATTCTGGGAGCACAAAGAAGGGCCTAATCCTGATAGGGAAGAGTCAGAAAATGTTTTCTGGAGAAGGCGGCATATCCAGAGAATTATCAAGTCAACATAAGTGTTTCATCTAGACCATCCAACACCAAGTGAGACAATATGCTTTTTAGGGCTAGAATCTTTGTTAACCTAAATCTGGTTTAATTTATGAACGAAATGCAACTGTCCATAAGGACATCCTTAGGCAAACTAAATTTTTAAAAGAGAAATAGAATAAATTATTAACAACAGCAATGTAGATGGCAATATTTTGGCACATAAGCCAAAAATAATACGCCAAATGGTAAAGTGACATATTAAACAGGGAGCTTATTTATACACTTATATGAACAGATTTGGGGCCTATTAATTCTTATATTGCTTCCCAATTCTTCTGAGAAGCTCCAAAATAACAAATAACAACAAAGACATAAGAAAATAGAAGTCGCTGTTCTTGGAATAAAAGAGTATATCAACGATTGGTCATATTGGTAAGCGTTGTGTGCTTGTCTGCTTTGCTGTATGCGTTTTACGTTTATCTTTTCTGATTGGACTGATTTGTACGACATAGTTCTAAGACAAAGGAGACAGTGCTGTAAAATAAAGTAGGCTTCTTCTTTCTCCAATGACTGAGTGCCTCCCAGAAAAAAAACTAGGTCAATATATTAGAAAGAAAATACTGAGCTCTTTATGAAAATGGCCATTGGTCTGGTCCTCAGAGGCACAGAATACACTGAGTGGCCATGAATTGGACCTAGCATGCCATTTCACATGTGCTTTGGGAATTGATAAAAATGAACTTCAAAGTATTGAAGACACAGTAACTGAATGTTCCTCTCTTTCACTAGTGGTGAGAGTGGGTCAGTTAAGTGATTACATGGTGATCACCCTGCTGTTAGTCTTCCCTCTGGCACGGGGATGCGTGACTACACACTGGAGAAGCATGCCCCGTGGACAGCTGGACCATCACAATGCTCTGAGTCACTGCACTGACTTCCACTTTGGTGCTGTAGAATCAGAAATAAAACCCGCCTAAGTCACATCTAAATGTCTGTCTAAGGTTTCACTCCTTCCTCTTTACCGGTAAACGTTATTATAAATAATCATCTCCACATCAGCTAATCAGGGACCTGGATTCTTCGGGGTTGAGGAAGACTTTTATTTCAATAAGGCTGCTCTAATTGGGGCATTAGGTTTAAATCGCTATAGTTTTACTAGCAGAAAAATACTACTATGCAGTATTTAGGATTTTATGTCAAGATGTCAGGTTTTATTTTAATGAGTTCCTTGATTCCCATCTCTATTTTCTGTGTTGGTGTATACACTCCTTCATCAACTTTTACCACCTCTAATTCTACTAATCACTAAATAAAAATTAAGGCTACATAAAATAACTCACAGTAAGCAAACTCATCATGTATTTTTCACATTACAGACTCTTCCAAATAACACCATGAATCACTTTATTAACATTTAAAAGACAAATGAAAAGTATTCTGCACCTATTTTCCTGGCATTAGCATTTTCTTAAAATAAATAAATAAATAAAAGATTGATTAAGAACTTAAATGATTTATTGGGTAAATATTTTTATAAGTTACCATGTTGAGAGGATGTGGTAGAAAGATTTGGTTGATTAGCCAGTATATCCCAACCATCTTAACCTTGTTAGTTTCAGTGAATCAATCCATCTATCCATCCATCCATCAAACCAAAATTGAGCACAACAATTGTGTCATTAGAATGGATGATGTGAGAGAAGTTAAAAACACAAGAAGAAATCATTTACTGAGAGTCCACTATATGCCACATGTCTTAGATATATCTCCTCATTTACTATCTTATTCTATCTTAGAAGGGTGAGTATTATTGTTATTTACATTTTAAAGATGAAGAAAATCAGGTTCAGAGAGCTTTAGTGACGTATAAAAGTTCATTGTGAGCAATAGTTCTGACTCTAAAATAGATGCTCAAGTTACCACTCACATCTTCTATTTTTATGCAGTTACGACCTGAATGAACAAAGACAATTTATGCATCCAGAGATGGAGACAGAGTGACACAGATTCACACACACGCCCAGTGAAGAGATCAGTATAAGACTGTATTTAATCAGCTACCTAGATTAGTAGGGCAGGCTATATATGCTCTGATGATTAAATGAGATGAAATCTTATGTGCGCTCAACAAATGGGAATAAAGGAAAAGAGGAATGTTTCATGACTCAGTGAATACTTCTGGATTCTTCAAAGCTAAGAGTGGGTGAGTGGCCCCTATATAAACAACAGAGAGGAAGCAGACAGAGAGGGCAAAGAATCAAGTAGGTGAAAGTTAGTACATTAAAAACTTTGAGGGCCGGCCCGGTGGCGCAGTGGTTAAAGTTCGCACATTCTGCTTCTCAGTGGCCCAAGGTTCCCCGGTTTGGATCCCGGGTGCGGACATGGCACTTCTTGGCACGTCACGCTGTGGTAGGCGTCCCACGTATAAAGTAGAGTAAGATGGGCATGATGTTAGCTCAGGGCCAGGCTTCCTCAGCAAAAAAGAGGAGGACGGGCAATAGTTAGCTCAGGGCTAATTTTCTTCTTCAAAAAAAAACTGAAACAAAAAACTTTGAGTGTTCAAAACAGTCAAATGACTAAGATCAAAAAGAATGGGGATAAAGAGGACATTAGGTCTGGCCAGAAGGTGTTCACTGGTGACCTTCAAGTCACTGTTATTTGTTATTTTTTTTTTTGAGGAAGATTAGCCCTGAGCTAACATCTGCTACCAATCCTCCTCTTTTTGCTGAGGAAGGCTGGCCTTGAGCTAACATCATGCCCGTCTTCCTCTGCTTTATATGTGGGACGCCTACCACAGCATGGCATGCCAAGCGGTGCCACGTCCACACCCAGGATCCAGACCGGCGAACCCTGGCAGCCAAAGCGGAACATGTGAACCTAACTGCTGCGCCACTGGGCTGGCCCCTCAAGTTATTATTTTAATAAGATAATGGAGTAGGAATCAGGACATCAGTGTGAAAGGATGATCCTTAAAGCAATTTCCAAAGAAACAAGGCTCCTTGGCTTCCTCCCACTGCCACCTCTCTAGGTGCTGTCTCTGTTCCTCTCCGTCACACAGATGTTGGAGGAGAGTCCTCTATCAGGCCACCTCCTGGGGCTCCCACCCTTTCTCTTCCAGGACTCCTGCTCACCCTCCTTCAGCATCCCAGGGTCCTACATGAATTCCCATTTTTAAATTATATTTCAGGGACTTCATTTCATGTCGTTCAGATATTGAACGGGATAATAACTTTCAAATGTGGCCAGATTCGTCTTTAAATTCTCATGGAAGAGAGAATCTCATTTCCAGAGATGATAGGGCTAAACTGTTTTGACTTAGCTACAGTATTGACCCAAGTTATTAGACCGAAAATGTCAATGGGACATGACAAAAGTTGCCTGTTTGTAGTGTTTTCCAGTTGATAAATTTTAGCACAAATTTTTTTTTTTTAAAGATTTTATTTTTTTTCCTTTTCCTCCCCAAAGCCCCCCAGTACATAGTTGTATTATATTCTTCGTAGTGGGTCCTTCTAGTTGTGGCATGTGGGACGCTGCCTCAGCGTGGTTTGATGAGCAGTGCCATGTCCACGCCCAGGATTCAAACCAACAAAACCCTGGGCCGCCTGCAGCGGAGCGCACGAACTTAACCACTCGGCCACGGGGCCAGCCCCTAGCACAAATATTTTTAAGTAGAGGAAATATAGTGACTCCAGTGCAATGACTCTTTTTTCTTTTTTAAAAAAGAAATGTGCTGCTTTATTCTCTGATAGAAATCAAAAGGCCCTAATTGACTTTTTTATTCCTAATATTCCAAAAAATAAAAGTGCAGGCTTACATTCCAACAGCAAGGTTGCTCATGTTCAGTACAGTGGCAGGCATCTTCCCAACCCTGGAGCCGGGCTTTTGAGGAGTATTTATGAAAGCCAACTGAGAAAAGGCATTTGCTCATAAACCTGAAGGTCAGTGGTAGCTGATAAAACGAAAGGAAAAAGATTATGCAAGTTGTTATTGGCAGGATAATAGCTCACTGTTGGGATTACAACACCATTGAAAAGATAACCCTCATTTTTTAATTCTGTGAAATCTCATGAGAAAAAAATAAAGGCAAATGAAGCTCAGATGTTTAGAATGCACTGGAGCCGTACATGTTTAGAATACAGAGGAATTTGAAATAAAAACAGAAATGTTTACACTTTAAGTTCAAATCCTCAAAGGGAATTAATAACTGAATTTAGCCTTCTCTCCATTCAGTAGATCCTGTAGGTTCTGTTTAACTGGAATGGAAATAGACACTTCACAAAGGTGAACCAAAGCATGTTGTCTCAACACCTAATATAGACTTAGCCATTGTGATGCAATGTTTCTGTCATAAATAATTAATGTATTCACAGCAGCACTATAGGTACTGATGGCTCAGGTTCCTATGAGATGTCTTTAACTATTGATGAAGGATGAACTCTCATAGAGATTATAACCATCGCTATAATTGTTGTTTATATTGTCAGCTGGGGTAAGTCTGGGTGAGACGATTCTATTCTGTTTGACTGTACTAGGTGGGAGTCAATTCTTGTTTTTGGCCTCTAGCTGTGCTTCCAGTAGAATGGAAAAAAAGAGTAACTTCTGCTAGTGTTATGATAATCCATAAGAAAAATAAAATATCATCCACAAAGTTGTCATTAATTTATATTTCATCTAGGTTCACTGGCAAAAGTCGCAGACTTTTTCCAAAACTCAGAACAGCCTCTATGCTAAAAATTGAGTCACATTAAACATCACATGTTGTGGTCAGCCCTAACTAGAGGCTGCCTTAGGTTAAACAGCTTCTAGTCATATATGTGCGGTCCAGGAAAACTTGGCTGAAAGCTGGTAGCTCCACATATTTTGAGAGTTTGAAAAATAAAAGACCTGAATAAAAATAAAGCTGCTCTCCACTGGAATTCTAGTGGTTCCTGGTTTAAGAAACTAAGGTTCTGGAACTGCACAGCCTTACCTGAAGATGTGATAATGACCATGATAATAAGAATGGCAACAGCAAAATATATTTTGTTATATATTACTCTTACCCTACAGCAGCCTGTGAATTAAAGCTGCACAAGCAGAGGAAAGAAGACAGTGGAAGCTGTACGGCCATCTGAAAGCCTGGGCATTTCCTCTGAGGAGCAGCTAGCAGCTGGCATGCAGCTAGCAGGATAAACTGGGTAAGGCAGCAGAAAGTGCTAGGGCGAGGCCTTCAGAAGCCCCAGTTTAGAAGCCCCAGTTGCTAGTTATGAGCTGGAGGAACTTGGGCAAGTCCCTTAACCCTCCAGGCCTGTTCTCCTTCCTACAAAACACGATAGTTGTTCCATCACAGACTTGTAAGGCTGTATAATTGCACCTGCATTTTGCTTAATTTCCTTTTAAAGGCAACCCCTCAATTTGTGAGCCCCTGATTTTATCGCCCTTTCTAAAATAAACAATCTCACCCTCCAGTAATAACTCAAACTCCAACTTACCACCACTAAATAACTCCCACCAACTCCTCTGCTTTGCAAGGGAAGATGTGGCTGCTGGTTTGGCACATACTTCTTGGGCGCGTACTGTGCGCCAGGCCCTGCTGGGCACTGGGTTGGGGGCAGCACTGATCAAGGCAGATAAGGCCCTGGCTCTCACGGTGTTAAACTCAGCATCAGGTGACTCCGTCTGTACTTGGAACAAATAAAATACGCATCTTTAACAACAGATTTTCCCTCAATTATGCAATTTGTTTTGCTCTTTTCTTTGTCTAAAGCCCAGAATGTAAAATCAACAAAAAGTCAAGAGAAGCATTCACTTGACTGTCAACCTCAGCGTCAGTTCAGCATTTCATATTCTCTCTTGTCTTGCTCACTTGGTGCATGAACCATTCTCAAGGCTCAATTTGTCCTTACAGTTACATTCAGGCTTCATTTTTTCATGGTAACTGCCTCCTAGCTTGGCCTGGTCAAGCTTTCTACATAGAGTTCTTTGGGGAGCTCCCTCACCTGGCCTTAGTCTATGGTATCACCAGAGGCAGTAGTGGGTTCTAAATATTTTGCAAAGACGAAGATCAATATGCACGACACTGAGGTCCAGAAAACCAAGATAAGAATTTTTTGCAAATGGCAAGGGAAAGCAGACTCCACAACAACACTGAGGGACTGGCAAGATAATGGTGCCCTTCATCCCCTCACGTATTTGTCACATGGATTTGGCAACTCACACAGAGAAAGTGCAAGATCACTCGCTGAATAAGTGAGTGAACATGAGTGAAGAATTAACTTGGGTCAATAGGTATTTAAATTGTGTCTTTTCTCCATCTTTGATTTGTGGCAAGTCTCTTCTGTTTAACAATCCTGCTATTCAAAGAAGCACATTTAATATTTCATATTTACCCACTTTTTGTACAATGGTTTACTATAAAGAGCTTCTGCAGCATATTTAACGGGCCTAATTATTTATTCTCAGGTCATCTGAGGGTATGTTGTGGGTATTCTCTGCTCAGATATGAACATTTTCTCGAACAGGCATCACTGCCACCGGAGCCAGACTCTGGATTTGAATCCCGACCCTCCTCCTTGTTAGTTCTGTGACCTCCAGCAAGTTAACTAACCTTTCTGTGCTTCCATTTCTTCATCGGTAAACTGTGAATACTGATAATAACTACTTCAATAGGTTGTCAAGATTATTATAAGTTACTGTTTAAAGGTATTTGGAACAGTGTCTAGCACATACTAAGTGCTTTTTAAGAATTTATTAAATAAATTTAAAAATAACAAAAAATATGGCAACTAAAACAAACTGACGGCGATTAAGTTGGAAGATGTAGCTTGGTGTGATTCAAGAATCTGGAATAACATAGACACACTTTAGATTTAAATATGAATGCCCTCTCATTTCCCACAAGAAATTAAAATTTAAAGGATGAATCCTGAAAATGTTCATAATGGTTATATTCATATGACCCCAAACTGGAAATATTCCAAATGTCCATTAATAGGAAATGGATAAACAAATTATGTTATATTTATATAAGTTAATATAGTTGAACAATAAAAGGATTAAGCCATTGATATGTGCAAGACATAGATGAATGTGAAAAACGTATGTTGAGCAAAATAGTACATAGTTTATGATTTCTTTTATATGAAGTTTAAGATCAACAATATAAATATCTAGTGATATAAATTAAAAGACTGATTTCTAGGGTTGGGGTGGGGCAGAAGGATTGACCAGAAAGAAGAATGGGATAACTTTCCAGGAAGATGGGAATATTAGCTATCTTTATTTGGGTGATGGTAACATGGAATATATATTTGAAGAAAAAAAGCTCTCATCAACTGTATATTTATGATCTGTGCATTTTACTAAATGTAAATTACACTTGGGGCCAGCCTAGTGGTGTAGTGGTTAAGTTTGCATGTTCCGCTTCGGCAGCCCGAGGTTTGCTGGTTCAGATCCCGGGTGCAGACATGGCACTGCTTATCAAGCCATGCTGTGGCAGGCATCCCACATATAAACTAGAGGAAGATGGGCATAGATGTTAGCTCAGGGCCAGTCTTCCTCAGCAAAAAGAAAGAGGATTGGTGGCAGATGTTAGCTCAGGGCTACTCTTCCTCAAAAAAAATAAATAAAACAAACAAATAAATAAATGTAAATTACACTGCAATAAAATAAAAACTAAACTGACAAAATAAATAAATCCTGGCTTCTGGTATGGCAGGCTAGTTAATTCAGAACAAACTTCCCATTGGAGACAACAAAAATTTCTGGATGAAATATTAAAATCATGTTCTCAGTATCAACAAGCTAGGAAGAAAGTGAGAAATCATCAGGCCAAGAATTTAGGGCAAGAGGAAAATCCAGAGAGGCTGGCATAGGGTTTGGGGCTACTTGTGCCCTAGGAACATGAAAAGCTTTGACTATCACAAAGAGATGGCAGAGAGGTTAAGCAATCCTTCTAACGGGCTCTTGGGGAAAGAAGGAATGAAAGTTGAAGTACAAGGCCTGCCAAGATTGAGGGTCACGGTAAAGTGCTCACTTCACCACTTGAGTTGATATCCAAAAGAGGTGAAATCTAGGAATAAGAATAAACCAGAAATAAACCAGCCCCTCCCAATGACAACAGTCTATACGGTCTAGAAAATTTCAATCCTGGAAATTGGATAAAGTGATTCAAGTTTGCTACTATCCATGGGCACCTGCCAGAAAGCAACAACAAAAAAAAGTCCTTTGGAAGAAGGTAATATCATAGGCCTTAAATTACTTCTATACATATTTTTTGAAATATATCTAGCACTCATTCAAAAATAAGGAAACACATGAAAAGATGTATCAGCAAGAATGAGAACCAGCACAAACAACAACAAACAACAGAAAGAGACTCATAGGTATTCCAGATAGTGAAATTTCCAGAAATATACAAAATGTATATTAGTATGTATATCAAATATTTTACTATGCTTATAGAGACAGAAGCCAAATTTTAACATCTCAGCAGGAAACTGGAATCTTTAAAAAGGACATCACAATTTAAAAGCAAAAAATAAAGGGGCTGGCCCGGTGGCACAGCGGTTAAGTTTGCATATTCCTCTCCGGCGGCCTGGGGTTCACTGGTTCGGATCCCGGGTATGGACATGGCACTGCTTGGCAAGCCATGCTGCGGTAGGCGTCCCACATATAAAGTAGAGGAAGATGGGCACGCATGTTAGCTCAGGGCCAGTCTTCCTCAGCAAAAAGAGGAGGATTGGCAGCAGATGTTAGCTCAGGGTTAATCTTCCTCAAAAAGAAAAACTAAAAAGCAAAAAATAAAATAATAGATATCCTAGAACTGAAAAACACAATATCTGAAATTAACTCAGCAGATAGGTATATTAGCAGATTAGATATAACTAAAAGAAAGTTAGTACACCTGAAGATAAGTCAGAAGAAAACCAACCAGGATAAAAGAGACAGACAAAGAACAAGAGGAATAGAAGATACAGTGAGAATATCTAGTGCATGTCTAATCAAGGTCTTAGAAAGAGAGGAAAGAGGGAATAGTCAGACGCAAAATTTGGGAAGATTATCAAAACTAATGAAAGGTATCAATCCACAAATTTAAGAGCCCGATGACTCCCAAGCATGCTTAAAATAAATAAATAAACAAAAATCCTCCCTGTCAAGCGCTGTGAGGGATCTGAGATTTTACCCTACTTGCAACGTAATCAATTAGCCTGCTATAGTTTCAGGCTGCTGACAGAACACATGAGCCACCTGGATCAAACACTTTATTTCAAGTCAAAGGACTTTATTATTCGTGGCACAAAAAGTAGCAAGAGCAGAGTGTTTGCATCAATTCCTCTTGCCTTCCAATCCCTCCGGGGCAATGTGGAGGGGACCAGCTGTATGCTGCACATGCAGTGGGTTTGCGCCACAGCTGAGGAACTCCAAGCTTTAGGAACCCAGATCTTTTGTAATGGGCAGCAATCTTGCCTAAACTTTGTCCTGGAGGGAGACCATTATCATTATTATACTGTGCAATAAACAAACCTGCCCTCTGCTCCAGAGAAAGACATTGATCTCTATGTCCCAAGGCTATCTGCTATACAAACGTCCTTGAAAAGATAGTCTAGAAAAAAGGCAGCAAGTGCCTCTGCCTACTAGAAGAGCACAGACACAAGACACCCATGGAGAATTGTGTGCCAACATCTTCACCCCTCATTTGTACACCATCTTGGCTTCTGGCTAATTTTCCCACGAGTATGTCACTCTGTCAGCCACCGTGACTAATCTGATCAACAGAGGCTGGGACCAAATCCATCTAATTTGTCTCATCCAGCATGTAATTAAGGCTACAGCTAACAAGACTCCAAGCAGCAGGATGAGGAAAATCTTGCAGTATTGATGTCAACTGTTCCCCCAGAGTCCTGGACCCAACCAGCTGAACAATTCCTATAAAGCATCAGTGCATGCCTTCCAGCACTGATGTATTTCATTGATTATTTTAGCTAAAGTTAGGGACAAATTTTGAACCTTCTTTTCCAAATTAGGGATAAGACTCTCATTGTAGGGATAATTATCCTCAGAATATGCATAAATAATGAGTTCCTTATCTCTCTAGGGAGCCACTCCAAGTAACAAAAGGTAGCCTCATTTTGGGAGAGAGATCTGCTGTCTTCTGAGGGCCACCTGATCTACTGGTGGTGTTTTCTAAATCACTCCTCGGGCGCATGCCACTTTGGTTTCAGGATGGAAGCAAGTTAATGCCTGGCTTCCACACAAGATGTACAACCCCAAGGATGTGCATGGTGCCCCTGGAAAGAAAGTATTGTTTACAATTGTTGGACCACCCCAAGTGATACCTACATTATTTGGGGGGAGGGGAACTCAGGTGCCTCAAACACGGCCTCGCAATGACTGGTAAATCTTAAATTTTCCAGCTTAGCTTGATAATTGAGTCTAGTCCTTAATTTTGAAGAGACTGCCTGAGGGCAGTCAGTGAAATCTGTCTGGTTTGTCCATACTACAACTGCTAGCATTCACCCACCCTATGGAAAAACTAAGTGATGGCTATGGGAGTGGAAGTGCAGAAGACTTCCAGAGGTACCGATGGGGAGGTGCAGGGCCGAGGCCATCTCTGGCTGTCTCCAATAGACTTCTCAATACAGTTAAGGGGAATGGTGATCAAATTGTGGTTATGACCATTTGGCTGGGAACACTAGGTCCAGCTGTCCAATAAACTGAAGGTGCGGTGAACAGTTTGGGAAAGCTGAAATGGGCCTTTTTATTTTACTTTGCGAGGAAGGCTCTGAGGGCAGTTCTGAAGGGCAACGATCATTAATGTTCCTCCCTTGCTGCACACCCCAGGGTCTAAGGTACTTCCTCTTCATGTGCCCAGGTTGTAGTTCCCACTCCACTCCATTCCAATAGCTGTAACTTCACCTTTTTCCCAAGCATCCTCTGCTCACACTCAGACATTTTGTTCAGAATGGTCAGACGCAACAGGGACAAGGGAATTTTTGTAAAACACAGAGACCCATTACATCTTCAACTTTAGCCTATGTGGGCCATTGTAGTGGGACATGGCAAGCAGTGTCCACAACCAGTCATCATTATCCTCACAATTTAGGACCACGCAACTCAAAAAAATGCATCCAGGTGGCACAGCTAGAATTAAGTTTGAAACCCCAAGGGCCCCTTTTTGTTGGGCTGCCACCAGGAGGGTGTATTAACCAGGCTGGTTTGCTATTAGGGACAAAGAAAGATGCATTATGCCTGGGAATGGTCAGGGAAGAATCCTGAACCTTCAAAATGAATCTCTGTAACTCCCCAATCCTTTCATTCTATCATTACCGAGGAAGCAGATGAGAGGGGATGCTCCTTTTCTGCTGACAGCCACATTCAGTGACCAATCTGCCTTAAAGTGTGTGGATGAGGAGGAGGTGAGGGAGGTAAAGACAGAATTTCTTTCCTAGTTTATCATTCAGGAAGCTGTTCTAATGCTCAACAGTATCAGACACCTGTGGATTGAAGAGAGCATGGAAGATTCATCGAATACCTTGACTGTCCATCTGTTGTTGAGTAGTTTTTGTGATAAAAAGCACACCATTGAGGAACTGAAAATGGCCCAGAAAGCTAAAAACAAGGCACAGGTTAGTTTCAAGAGACAGTTGTTAAATGATTGGACTAGAAAAACAGAAAATATCATAAACAGAAAAAACCTGTTAATAGTTGTAAGGCATCATCTATGGCTCCAGGAGAGGGTCAAAGTTCTGATGTAGTCAAACTGCCAGGAGTGGGTGGGGGCACGTCCCATGCCATACTGCCTCCTGCCCTCGGAGACAAATGACAGGAGTCACATATCTGATGCAGTGTTAGTCTCCGCATCAAAAACAGAATGATTCGCTTTTGCCCAAGCTGTTATGGTGGATGTGTTGCCATGTTCAGTGCGATGATGGATCCAGGCAGCAATGTTTAAAAACTGCGTGGTGCAGACTCAGCAGCTTGAGTTGGTCTCATCAGAATGAGCCCTTACCACGGACATCTACCTGAGTGACCCAGATGGTTCATTTAGTAGCACAGCTTGTTTCCACAGTTTGTGGCCTCACAGAGGAGTGTCTTAAATTTGCCAGTTTGCAGTTTTCCAAGTGGTAGACCAAACAGCTAGGCCATTGGCAAGAGCCCAAGAATCCATAAAAATCTAGCAAGGCTCATCAAGGAGAGTATTGGCCAGAGCTATGAGAATAAAATTGAATTCCACCCACCGAGTGGAGACAGCACATTTGTTTTCTGGTCTGCATTGCGGACACTGAGGCTGAAGGCTGCGGGAGCCCAATGGACCCCATCTGGTTTCAGCTTAGCCAAACCATCAGCGAACCAGGCCCAGGCATTTAGTTCATTATGAAAACAAACTACAGCTATACACATGTATGACTCTCACAAACATAACTTTGAGGAAATGATTCCTATACCCCCCAAAAAGTACCATACAATTTCATTTGTATGAAGATCACATAAAGGCAAAATTGAACCACTGTTTTTAGGGATGCATACTTAGGTGGCAAAAGTATAGTGAAGAACAGCTAGGCAGCATTTACCAAATTACTATGTATTTTTGGGGGGCAGGAGGTATGACAAGGGAGGTGTGCACATGCTGGGGGCAATGCCCTTTCTTGAACCTACGTTACCTCTTCATAATAATTTCTTAAGGTATAGATTTGTTTTGTGCATTTTTCAATATGTTGTTGAACTTCACAAGTTTAAAAAGGGAATAAATCTGTTAGCATGTTCACGTGTAAAGAGATAGAAGTACAAAATCAAAGTGATTTGCTCTTGTGAGTTACCAGTTCAAAGTCAAAAGAATCTTCAGCTAAATTAAGATCCAAGCATGAATTTATTATTTTCTTATTCTGCTCAGCCACAGTCAGAGTTGTTTTCAGGAACTAGGGAGCGTTGGAGTTCCTGCAACAGCTCCAGCCTAGATTCTCCCTCGAGTGACTGTAACACCTTCAGGGCATCAGAAGCCCTGTTAGCTCAATGCCAGGGCTCTGCTGTTCCTCACTTATTAGAAGGCTCAGGGAGATAGTAGGACTTCTAAGATTATCAACAGCCCTAGCCCCACACCCAACAAACGAAGGACACAAAGCAATTACCTGCTCCTGGAAATTATCCCAGGAAAAATTACATTCCTAGAACCCAGAACTAATATTGCCAAAAGCCATGGCAGAAACTCTGTAGTATCTGAGCATAGGAGAGTAGGTGAAAAAAAAAAATCTGGGTTCTGTCTTCACCAGATGGCCTATCAAAAGATGCCAGTTGTACAGTATCCATAACTGTGAACTTACACGGAAGAAATCTCTCAGCGAGAGCTTAATTTGGTACGATGAATTTACTATATCTGGAAGGAAGAGCCCACCCATACTTACTATTTCCTCTCTCAGAGAGTGACACTTGTGACACTGAAGTCTTTTTGAAAAGATATTAAATTTGCAGTGGAGACAGTCCCAGTGATCAGGTCTTGTTTAGGGTACTTTTCTTCCCGTCCAGTAAAAAATCTGAATTTCCATTTCCCTTTTGACCCTCACATTTCCGGCAATCTGAGCTTTGTGTGAGAGCTCTCTAAGGGAATAGGGCCTCCACGGGATCTTGTAAGGCAACATTTTTAGTCTTGTGCCTCCGAGGCTGCTGCCACTGTCTCTTCTTGTAGAATTGCTTAGGTTTAAGAAACTTGTATCTGAGAGAAAGTGTTCATCAGGTTTTCCACATTTGTTGCAACTTGAAAATCACTCTCAATAAATTCCCGAACTGGAAGCTACTTTGGGGATTTTGAACGCCTGTTCCCTGAGTGGCCTGTATAAATTTCTCCTGATACTCTCTCTCCTCCACTCTGAATTCTAAAACCCCGGGCACATTTCCTCAGTCCAGGTAGTGCAGGCTTGATCAGCAGCTTGGTTCTAGTCTTCATGCCCACTGTCACTTTCAAGTTTGTCTACTGATTCTCTGGGCATTTTTATATTTGATCCCATAGATAAGCCACATGAATTCAATATTATTGTTCTGTAGTCCAGCTTACACCTAAATGTCGAATTTGAGGAATCCCGATTTTAATTCTAAAACCTTACTAGTGTTTTGTGGGAGCAAAGCAATCAGCTGTCCCGCATTCTAAAAGCAGCGGATACATTCTGCCTTCTAATATCTAAAAGGTCTGTACACAGAAAGACCTATTTCTCTGTGAGGAGTCCTCCTTCCAGCTCTTGTCACAGCAGCATCCGCTGAGGCCCCACACTCTGCAGCTGTACGTCAAGTGTACCTCTAGGGCAAGCTGTGGCAGCCTCTACCTCGAGACTGCACCTTTGCAGACGTCTTTCTGCCTTTGCTTCAGAAGGATGCTCTCCAAGGGCTGTTTTCTCGGAGCCTTGCACACTTGTAATTCTACCTTCATTAGGAGCAGCCATTCACCTGTGAAGAGAACAGAGCGGCCCTAAGCTACACGCACCCACCAGGGTCAACATCCACACAGCCGACTGAACTTAGGTCAGAGCAGCTAAAAGCTGACTGCATCACTGTAAATGGCTGACCAGTCTAATAAAAGCTTCTAGAGACCATCGGGGGGCTGCATTCTGCTTTCTGTGGGCCCTAGGCACTTTGTCTTCAGGGAGCCCTTCTATCAAATAAAAAAGAATTATTATAAAATATCAAAAATTATACTTTACAACTGCATTGATATAAAGACAAATCCAAGTTGGATTATATCTATTTCTTTTCTTCAGATTTTTAAAGAAACGAAAACATTTTCTGGGACCCCTAAAAGGATCGTGGCCCTGGCCCTGATGACAGGCCAACATGCCCTGTCCACACATGAAAGTTGTAGTCTCAAGCCCAAGTTTTGATGACTCCATGTTAGGTTTTGTTCCTTATAACTTATTTCTCAGTGATGCTGGCCAATGTGACAAAATGATGAAGTCCTGAGGGAAGACAACAAATAACACCTTTTATCCCTTCCCAATGACGAAGACAAATAGTACAGAAGACAGGAGTCAAAATATAGCCTTTATTGCCAGTAGAGGCTGGGTTGAAGGATACCATCCATTTGACTCTTACATTTACTATAAGAATTAGGAGAATTTATCTACCCAGTTGCTGGCAGCTCTGGACTGAATCAGACTGCTCTGTGAGATAGGGAAGAGCTTGCTCCTGGAGGAACAGCAGAGAGTGCCTCCTCTTGGTAAGAAACTAGCTCCTAAGAGACAGAACGTAGAACAGAGGTGAGGGGCCAGCCCCATGGCGTACTGGTTACGTTCATGTTCTCTGCTTCAGCAGCCCAGGGTTTGCCAGTTTGGATCTTGGGCCTGGACCAACACACTGCTTATCAGGCAATGCTGTGCAGACATCCCACATATAAAATAGGGAAGATGGGCATAGATGGTAGCTCAGAGCCAATCTTCCTCAGCAAAAAGAGGAAGATTTGTGGTTGATATTAGCTCAGGGCTAATCTTCCTCAAAAAAAATAAAGAACGGAGGTGTGCATGTCCAGATTTTTCTCCCCACACTTGACAATCGGATTAGTCACTCACTGCAGGGCGTGGGAAAGAGGGGAGGTGATTTTTTGTTAATATTAAGGCTTTCCATCCATTCAGCTTCCTCCTACCTCAGAAAGTGGGATGGAGCGGTGGTAGTGTCTTCTGCTCACTAATCCTTCACTTAAAGTGATATCTTCTTGCCTATCAGCTTCCTTGTTCTCCCTTGCTATATAATGACTTTCATCAACACCTTCTGCATCTTCCTTTTTCTATCTACAAACCACAATAATAGGCAGGATTCAAATTATTTTCCATGAAATTCTTAGGTTTCCAGAAAATAAGCAGTTAATGACTAAATCTGGTGGAGTGTCATCTAACTACATATAGTGGCTTTCACGAGCTTTAGTTCTTACAAAGCCAGGATCATTGCAACAAGTCTAATTTTGAGAAGTCAGTAGGACATCATCCTCAGAGGTTTGATTCAGTAGGGCCCAGAAAGTGATATTTAAACAAATATCTCAGATGATTCTTTTGCAGCCAACTCATGAAGCAACATTTGGGAACCATTGTTCCAGAACATCTTGGCTCTGATACTTTACATCGGGGGGCCTAAGAATACCTGGTCAAGCATTTGGAGCGGATCTATAATGTACCTGATGGAGAATTAAAATAGCATTTGACTACATTACAAGCGGAGTTACTATATTAAACCTAGAGACGATGAATAAGAGGAATATAGGTGATAACAAAATAGTAAGATTGCGCATATCATAATTGTGTCAGCTATATCAAAGTCACTAGGAGTTAAGCTCTTTTTCTTTTTTGAATCAACAGATAATGACAATAATCATGAGTGTTATCACTATGTTGGATTCTTTCAAATAATACTTAGTATGACTTGTGTCAAAGATATTGTTTTCTTCCCAATTAATCTTGTATGTAATACTGCCCCACTTTACCCAGTCACAATAAAGCACCTAACTCATATTCCAAGTTTTTGTGTTCTTGTAGACAGCGTAAACGGCAATTTCAAATTTTACACCTGAGAATCATTGATTTGGATGAAGAATGACTCATTGAAGTCCATTTGGTACATGACTGTCCCAAGGATTGAGAGCCTGGATATACAGATTGAGTTGAAGAGGAGGGCAGGGATGAAATGAAAAAGTTAAGCCTTAGGGAAAAAAATAATAACCATAATAGTAGCGGACAAGGTTTATTGAGCACTACAATACAAATTTAGAATACATAGAAATATCTATCTTTATTTCAATATATCCTAAAATATATCAAAATGTAAAATATAAAACTCTATTCCAAGTGCTTTCCAGGCAGTATTTCATTTGTTACTCATAATACTCCTATAATGGACTGAATTATCTCTCTCCCAAAATTCATGTCGAAGCCCTAACCCCCAATGTGACTGTTATTTGGCGATATGACCTATAGAGAGGTAGTAAGGTTAAGTGAGGTCATAGGGGTGGGGCCTTAATCCCATAGGACTGGTCTCCTTATAAGAAGAGGAAGAGACATGAGAGCTCTCTCTCTCTCTCTCTCCATCTTTCTGTGTGCATACATGGAAAAGGCCATGTGAGGACACAGCAAGTAGGCACCATCTACAAGCCAGGAAGAGAGGTCTCCCCAGAAACCAACCCTGAATGCATGTTGATCTAGGACTTAAAGCCTTCAGAATGCTGAGAAAAGAAATTTCTGTTGTTTAAATCCCCCAGTCTGTCATGTTTTGTTATGGTGGCCCTAGTGGACTAATACAGCCCCTACGAGGTAACAGTTGTTAATAGCTCGACTTTACAAATAAGGAAACAGGGCTAGGAAAGGTACAATATTCTGTGCAAGGTCAAAAAGCAGACAGCAGAATAATTTTCGGCAGACTGGATGGCTACAAGATCAGTCAAAATAAGCTAGAAAAGATTTGAAAAGAAGTGCCATAAGCAAGAATATTTAAAACAAAGATATGGTTTATAACAACAGGCAAGATTGTTTATACAATGATCGTGTTGCTGGATTAGAAGTGCAGACAGAAGCAACCTTGGAGGGAATGTCAGATGGCTCAGAAGGATGGAAATGGGCTTTTATCTGTTCTTTGAGGCTGGATGACCTTGGGAGCCAATTCAGGAAGAATTTTCTAGCTTGGCCTAGGAAAATAAACAAGGGAGAGCTAGAAGATAAAGTGTGAGACAACTAGAAAAGCCGGATGTCTGCACTAAGAGTAAATGAGGAGAAAGACTGCATCCCATTGTATTTAGAATAAAGTCTAAACTCCTTAACATGTTGAGAGTTTATGATCCAAACCAGGGCATTTTTGAAAGTGATAGGAAATACTACTACAATTTTCCCAGCACAACATAGTTAAACCAGGACCATTCTGGGTAAACACGGGTAGAGCTTTGCAATAAGGTCTGACATAATCTGACCCCTGTCTTACATCATTTTCCTCCTTCATTTCTCATACTTTCTTTCAGTTCTTCGAACACACCCACATTCAAGTTCATTCCTGTTCAGAGACTCAATACATACTTTTATTCTGTCTTGTTCAGCCCTTTTCTCTCTGCCTGGTTAACTAATAATCTCCTGTAGTGGTCACTGTTGGTCAGTTACTCAGCAACTTTTCCCTGCTTCCTCCTTCCTAATTGCACCTAATTGGCCAGCCTTCCCTCATGTAACCTCTGCAACTTGGGAACTCTAACCACATCCTCAATCGAGGGAGGAATGCTGACTGGAATAAGTCAGCCAGCATATGGCATTCCTTTCTCTGGACAATGACTTAAAGAGAGTATATCAGCTGGGAGCTGCAGATGGCAGAGAACACTCTCAGTTGGTGCTCTGAACAAAATAAAAATTTGTTTCTCCTCATTTGAAAGAAGTGAGGAGGGATGTCATCAAGGGCTGGTATGGTGCCACAGGTGTCAAGCACTCAGGATCTATATTGCTTTGTTATCTTCAATATGCGGCTGCAGATGTTCAGCCATCCTATTCCCATTCAAGTAGCAGGAAGGGAAGAGGGACAAGGAAAGGCATTCTCGCCCCGTAAGGATACATCTCAGAAATTACACAAATTCCTTCCATTTATATTCCATTGCTAAGGCCATACCTAGTTATAAGGAAATCTGAGAAATGTAATCTTTATTCCAGGTGGCTCCATGTTCTGCTAAAAATTGAAGACAATGGATGTTGGTGGACAACTAGCAGCGTTTCTGCCAAGCTGGCTCAATTAGACTAAAGGGAAAGACTTAGTCTATAAGCTTGTTTCTCTTTCCTCTCACGCTGGATATGAATAAGAAAGCAAGTAATCCTAGTCACAGCCATCTTTAAGGGAGAGGAAAATAAATTTCCATTTTGTTTGAGACAACTTATAAGCATAAAAAGACCCAGTCTTAAAAGGAAACTGATACTGTGGACAGCAGAGCAGACAGAACCCGAGCTCCTACTGACAAGACTGAGCCGCTGCATCCACCCACCAAGAAGCCTGCTTTAACCTCTACATGACCTACTTTCTGGGAGAAAAGATGCCCTTATCGTTTAAGCCACTTTGGTTCAGTCTCTTTTTCCTGTAGTTGAAAATATCTTAATAGAATTCCTTACAGGCCTCCCGACGCGCACAATCTCTGTTATAATCGCCCTCAGCAATCTCTTCTCCTTCACAGCACTTATTACGATTTTGAATCATCGATTTGTTACCTGTTTGAAGTCTATCCGTGCACTAGGCTATGGGCCATGAGAGTTGAGACTAGATCTGTTTTGTTCACTACTGTACACCTAGTAAATGGAACAGGATGCTTGGCACACAGGAGGCTTGTAAGTAAATGGTAGCTATCATAAAAATGATGTAGACAATAAGCCTCACTCATTCAAAGAGATCGCTTCTCGCAGAGGCAGAGCCACGGTCACGGGAAGCAATGGCGGAGGACAGCTTGGGGAATCACCCTCTCCTTTATTCTTCAGGTTTTTGTCATATACTATTTATTATTTCAGCCATATCTGACATCTGTTTTGTAGCTTTGGTGTGACCTCAAATTTGAATATGGGACCACTTCTATCTAGAGCTTGGTCTGAAAAGGAGTGATGGCAGAGCTGAGAGCACAGATGACAGTCACAGCTGCAGCTTCTGTGGTTGTGCTGTGGCTTTCATTCGGGCATCCCAGGAGTGCTGAGTGCAGAAACAGGACCAGACGAGTTCGAACAGCCTCTTCTGTCACATTAGTGTTGAAGCAAGGTCTTCCCAAACAGCCAAGACCTTGACTTCTGATCTGCAGAGGCCATCCTATGCACATGCAGCCTTCAGACACATGGCTTTCCTCCTAGGCATGTTTCTGGATAAGTTTTCTTTTTTCCTACTCTTTTCCCCACCTCCCAAACCTTTCTGCCATTCTTTTACGTCAGGTAATAGAAAATAATTTAAATAATTAACTTAATATGTTCATATCTACAGGTAACCTCTAAAGTCTTTTACATTCCACTCTGAAATGTACTTTTAAAGTCTTCTTTCTGATTCATACACTTGGTGTTTCTTCCTATTACCTATGGCATTAAATTTTAATTAATATTTATCTCAATGCTCTATCTAAATGTGATTACTACATAAAAGTTTGGGGAAAAAAGTGTAAGCATGACATTGATAGCATGTCCAAGTCTTTACTTTCAAAATATTTTTTTAGATAAAACTGTTTGACTTTTAGCAACAACGATACTACCAGCTGTCATTTACTGAGTCCCTTCACTATTCTAGGTGTTATGATGGATACTTTATATAAAGCAAGTAGCAATGTGCATTTATTCAGTGGGAAAAGATCTATACTACAGGCTGCTCTTTGTTTACAGAATGAATAGTTGGAATGGTTCAATAATTGGAAATTATTTGATTTTGAAATTTTTAAAAATAGTCATTTGCACTTAGTACTCATCATATGATTATAGAGTAACTTAAATATTATACATACAAATAGATTGAAAAGAAATTTTAAGAATTTGGTAAAGTCCATAGAATAATTGAGAGTTAAAAACAACTGACTTTTTTTATTTGTATGAGAGTAACTTTTAGATTTGTAATTACCCTATTAAAAAAAGTTTCAATATTTGATTCACTCACTTCATATAATTATCGATATTTTGTTTTAAAACAGAAATAAAAATAGGCATTTAATGTCAGCCACTCTCACTCCCCATATCTTCTCCCTCTGTCCTCTGTTTCTCAGCTCATTATGGCTGTGATATATGACCCCTCCTCTTCCCTATGAGCTATAGGTTCAGTCTGTAGCTGTTTAGTCAATCCTGATGGCAGTAAGCAAGATTATCAACAGCATCAGACCCCCATGCTCTGGAGTTCAGCATAGTTAGCCAAAGATCCCTAGTTGGGATCTGGGAGCCCACCTATGACAGCTTTGCTCCTTGAGCCTCCTTAGTGACTTCTGAGTAGCCATGTGTGCCCCCAAGTTGCAATATTCCCTTCTCATTCTTGCCCCCAGCTTAGATAGGCTTGAGAGTCTGCCATGGTCTCTGCCTCTAAGTTCAGCTTGATTATCCAACTTAGTACTCTCGTAGTCTTGCCTTGAATATCCACTGACGTCCTATAGCTGGCATGGACACACATTCTTAATTACCATACTTGCCTAACGCCTGAGTACTGCCTCTATTATAAGTTCCCCAACACTAAATTATTCCCTTATAATCAGAAAATCAAGCCCAATGAGTGCATGTAACATGTTAAGGTTAAGTTGCTAGAAAACTCAACTTTAGAGAAAAGATTTACCAAGAATTACTTCTGTAGGAATCAAGGTAATTGGTACAGCTATATTCCAGATCTCTATCATCTACATGTTTTATTCCAGCAATTCTCTCCCCAAACCTTTCAATAACTTTAAAAAGACGTTACACACACAAGAAAAAATTGTTACATTAAAAACATTGACTCTAGGCTTGGAGGAAGAATTACTAGTTCACTCTAAGTTGTCGAACCAAAGGGAAGTGTAAGTGTCATGTACACCCCTCTCTGCATCCACATCTATATCAAAGGCTCAATGAAGATAGAAAGTGAAGGAATGTAGTTTGTAGATTGACTAAAGTTTTGCCTTTTCTTTATCTTTTTGTGAGAAACGAAGGAAGACATGATCTATTCACTGATTTCGTCTAGGGATCTTTGTGTCAAGAATCTCTTGGCATCAGGAATCACGTGGGGTTTTTGCCAGGAAAGTTTTCACAAAAATTATCAACGGCTAAATATGATAATTTATAGTGAAATATGTCTTATATAAATGAGCAACACAAATGCAGAAAGACAACCAAAGAGTTCATGTATAACACAGATCTCACATGCTGATTGTTGCCTCAATCACAACTGTCCTCAGAACACTGTTGGGGAACAGGGTCTTGCCTGCCTTATGTGGTAAAATCAGGGCACACAGTAAGATCACTTTCTCAGCCTCTGTTAACAGATCTTATGCCAGCTCACTAGTCCTTTGCTTCTCCACTCACCCCTGGAATATCATACACTTATAACTGATTCTTGCAATATGACACGGGACTAAACCTCAGAAGCAGAACTTGTGCTTCAGGAATTTCAGTTTTAGTAGCATAGTCACATTACCTGAAAGGTACTTTTTACTTCCTTCCAATACAAGGGTCCACAGAAGTGTAATAGTGCATGCTTTGCCATGAGTAAGAAAGTCCTTTGTCTCTGACCCAGGAGTCTCATAACTTCTGCCTTCATCCATGGAACAGTAATCCATGAAATTCCATCCATGAAATGCCAGTCGGCTAGAGCCAGGACTGGAACTCAAGCTGAATGACTTTATACGGCTAATTCTAAGAGTTCTACTAAAGAACTCTTTACTAGACTTCTATAGATGCTATAGATGAAAAGCATCTAGAGGCTATAGATGAAATTAGGGGACATCCATAGATGTAGCTGCTCCTTCACCTCATTTGCACTGCCATGACCTCGATTCACACATTCATCATCTCACATCTCAACTACTATAGTAATCTTTCACCTGGTCTACCAGTTGGCAGTTTCATCCTAAGAATTTACTTATTTCACCCTAAGAAATTACTTATCAACATATGGCTCACATGATCTTTATAATCAACTGATCTAAAATTCTCAAAGGTTCCTAATGTCTCCTGGATGAAGTTCAAACTTATGAGCCTGGCATTCAAGCCTTCTACGGTTTGTTCTTGCCTACATATCCAATTTAGCTTTGCGCTATATACCATTTTACCAATTTATGCTTTAAATAGTTGTTACTTCTGTCTGAAATGCATTTTTTTCCCATGGAAATTTCTTCAAAAATATTACAGTCTATGGATTCAGGGTATCTCAATTCCATTACAATTTTTTAGTATCTGTTAATATGCAAGATTCTATCCTGGACATTGAAAGAGAGAAAAAAAATGTACAACCCTCCATGATGGACAGTATAATTTATAGTCTCTTTCCGAAAAACATTTTAAATTGGAGTCCTCAATGTGTCAGATCTATAACATCCTCCTTTGCAGCAACTTGCTTAGGTAGTTTGGTGTTTCATGGACACTTTAGATATCCCTAACAACAACATATTTGATTGCAATGCTTATCTCTTGAGGCTTACCTCCTTTATCTACTGCTTAGCTATCTATGTGCACACAGCTGTCTTTAAAGTATTTCCTCATAAAATAATTTACTCCTCTTCTCTCTTCTTAACTGAGTGTTACAGAAGAATAATTATTTGCAGATAAGAAGGAAACTTGACCTTTATCCCAGAAGTCTCCTACTCTTCAGAAATATAACTAAGAATGTTTTCCCCAATTGACCATTCTCTACTTATTCAAGCGCTGACAAAGCGCTCCAATAGCTCTTCTTGCTACTGCAATTAGCTTCTGAGTAGAAATTATCAAAAAGCAGAAGATGTTTAGTGAAAAAGCACAAAACTTTAATTTGAGGTCTACAGTATTATTTTCGATAAATAACAGCCTCAACTTCCCTCTGTGTAATCTTGGTACCTTCAACAAGCTAAAAAAACAAAAATGCTTGGATCAAAAAGCATTAAGAGTAAAAGAAGAATACTTTATAATACTAAAGATTATCATCCACAACATTTAACAGTTACACAGCAAATTTTATAAAGCAGAAACCATAAAGATGAGAGGAAAACAGACAAAAACAAAACAAACCAAAAAAACCATTTGGAGGCTTTAACACACTGCTCTCAATACAAGAAAATCAAGAAAAAGAATTAACAAGTATATCACAGACACGACATAATCAATAAGGAAGATCTCATAGGTATGTATCAAAATCTGTAAACCATTAATAGAATATACATCACCTTTTCAAATGCACATGGGATATTCACAAAAATGATACTTCAGGCCACAAAGAAGATCTTAATAATCCAAGGAATAGAAATAATAAAAACAGCATTCTCTGCCTACATGAAGCAAAATCAGATATTAATTTAAAACAATCAAAAGAAAACAGGTCCTTCTTCTTGGAAATTTAAAACACACACACACACACAAATTACTCCTTAATCAAAGGAGACATACAAAATTTAAACACAATATATCAGAAATTTCAGGATACAGCTAAAGTAGTTATCATAACAATAAAATTAAAATATATCAATTAAATATCTAATTCCTAAAGCTAGTAAACCAAGGAAAAGTGGAATAGAAAAAATTGACAATATTAAAAACAAAAATTAATGAATAAGAAAACAAAGAACAGTAGAATTAATTAGGAAATGTAAAAAACAGTTTTTTTGAAAAAATCAACAAAGAAAAGATACTAATTAAAATAATAAAGAAAAAGGAAGATAGCACAGATATACGTAATTAGAATTAACAATTAATAGCTATCAAAATAGGAGAATAGCATCTCATGGGAATTTCTACCCAATTTTTAAAGATCAGATAACCCAAATGCTACTTAAAATATCCCAGGGTATAAAAAAACAAGGTAAACTTACAAATTCATTTTGTAATTTGAGAAATATATTATAACCAACGAAGGAAAACACAGATCAATTTCACTTATGAATATTTATGACAATGACTTAAAAGAATAATTAGCAAAGAAAGCCCAAGAGCATATTAAAAAATTAGTTCACCATGACAAAATGAAGCTTATTCCAAGAATGCACAATGTATCAATATCAGGAAATCCATTCATATATTCCACCATATTAATAGTGTCTTACCTCATTCAGGCTGCTATGATAAACTACCATAGACTGGGTGGCTTAGAAACAACAGAAATTTATTTCTCACAGTTCTGGAGGCTCAGAAGTCTACGACCAAGGTGCTGGTAGATTCAGTGTCTGGTGAGAATCTGCCTCCTGGCTCACAGAGGGACTGTCTTCTCACTGTGTCCTCATATGAAGGAAGGGGCAAGGGAGTTCTCCGAGATCTCTTTTATAAGGGCACTCATCCCATTCATGAGGGCTCCACCCTCATGACCCGATCACCTGTGAAAGGCCCCATCTCTTAACACTATCACAATGGGTGATAGAATTTCAACATATGAATCTTGAGGGGTCACAAATATTTAGTCTATAGCACAGAGCTAGGGAGAAAAATTATATGATCACTTCCAAAGATACAGAAAATACATTTGAAGATAATTCAATACCATTTATGTTAAAAAAGCAAAAAGAAACCTCTGAACACAAAAAGAATTAGTGGCTATTTCCTTAATGTCAACATGATATACATATATATATAATATATGTATGCACATACACACACACAGACACTCACATCTCAAAGCCAGCATCTTCCTTGATGGAGAAACGAAAGAACCTTCTTGCTAAAGTCAGGAACAAGAAAAGGATGCTAATTATCTCCATGATTATTGAGCATTATGTTAGAAATGTTAGACACTGCAATGGACTAGAGAAAACAATTAGAAATATAAGAACTGGAAAGGAAAAAGGTGTAAAATGTTCTCTAATAAACATGATATGATTAAATATCTAGAAAATCCAAAGAAACAATTGGAGAAATATAACCAAGTAAGAGAATTTCCTTCTCCATCCCTATCTTGATCCTATTGCGGACTTACATGTGTTTTTGGCACGCCCATTCAAGTTCAAAACAGTGGTGTCATAACAATAATATTAATTTCATTTGTGGCTTGACAAACTACTTTCCTCAATATTGTGCAGACCCCAACCCTATCTAAGCAGTCGCTAAATCATACAGATTTTGCCTCTGAAATGTCCTTCTCAGTCTCCCTTTTCTCCATCCCATTGTTGTCATTCTCAGTCACATACTCTCTCTCTCTAACTTATAAATGGCTGTCAGTTTACTGATGCTACTCTTGTTTAATACATAATTTCTTGTGATATAAAGTCTCAACTCCTTGGCCTGGTTTTCTACAATAGGCCCTTAATTTACCTTTCCAGACTTATTTCTGCCTAATCCTTTCGACATACATTATTTAGCTGGACCAGACCACTGGGTATCTCTTAGACACATCTGTATTTGTAGTTCAGTCTCTTTTGGAATAATCTTCCTAGACATCAAGATCTGTAACAAACAAGCATCCTTTCTCCAAGTCATCCTATAACAAGAATACTAAACACCTCTTGTCTAGGCACTGTGCTAAATATTTTACAGATACTGCTTTGTCCCTTGTCACCACAGACGTGATTTCTTCCTCTTCTGACGTCCACAGCATTCTGTAACTTTCTTGGTATTCATGTTACACGTTTCAGATTTCTGGTTTTATTTTATTGACTCTACTAGTTTATAAACTTCCTGAGGGTCAAAAGTAATTAGCACACGTCTTTGTATCATTTGCAACACAGGAGGCATTCAATAAATATTTGCTTGTGGGAATTAATAAAAGAAACCTTAACTAAGGAGCTGGGAAGGCCTGTAGGGGGAGCACTCACACCCTGCCATACATGTTTGATTACAGGGAACAGGAAGAGACCACCGCCAGCACCTTCCCTAGGAAGTAAAATTCCTTTACTACAAGGAAGATTTCTCTCCCCAACCAGCAACAGCCTGGCCAATGCGAAGCCGGCTGCCGTCCTGAACTGTTACTTTCCCCTAGTGGGACAGCCCCTCCTCACTTACCTCCTTCGTTCTCTGGATTTGCCAGTGGTTTGCCATAACATGCACATCCTCAATTGCAATTCTTTTGGCTTTTCCCAAATAAACTCATTTTGAGGGTAAACTAATAGGAGAATTTGCTTTTTAAGTTAACATGCTTCGTTGAATAAACTGTGGCTGCCTGGACTATAAAAATTTAGGTTTCAAACGCAACTCAGGATCTCTCTTTAGTTCATTCATTTTTCATTATTGGGCTCTATTCCAACTTAGCCTCATTAACGCCGTACTCTCAAAGGCTAGAACTAGAACTGTACCTGGCACATAGTAGGCACTTAGTGACAATCCTAAATGTATTGCTGTATGAAAATTAATTGAATGCTAATGAATAAAGCAAAGAAAAAAGGGCTCAACCATGGACAATGTAAACCAGCATCAGGGTCAGATCAACATTTTCTGGTTCGCATCTATCATATACCAGCTCAAGTCTTCTAGACCTCTTTTGATTTGCGGATGCAAAGTTTTAAAAAAAATTAATTTCAGCGGATTACTGGACCCTCTGAATCCCATTTTTATAATTACAAAAATCCCCAGCGGTGAAAGGAACAAACGTGTCGGCAGACTGTATATTTAAAGTCAGGGACTGGCAGTCTGAACCCCGAGGCCCTTTATGGCCAATATATATTAATAGCTCGGTGATTTTAAATTCTTATACATAGTGCTGTACAGCAATTCCACAGCCATCTCCTTTGATCCTAAGTACCCGGTGAGGTTATCCTTTTAGTTATGGGAAATACCATGTTAAAATGCAAACATTGAGAACTGGTAGCATCAACCCTTATCGTCTAAAACAGCTTTAGCTGCCCCTGGAAGGCAAAGCATTAATAGGAACTGGACTCAAGTTGGACGTGGAAAGGAAAGGAAAGGCGGACTGCTCTGAGGGACCCGAGCGGCCTCTTTTCCTCCCTCTCCCCACACCCTCCACAGAAACCTAAAGTGCTAACTTTGACCGGTTTGACAAAGGGGAGGATTCGGCGTTTTGCAAAGTGCTGCTTCCAAACGTGACACGTCAGGACACGCCCCAAACTACCTTGCCTTGCCGCGGGGGTTAAGGTTAAATCAATGAAACACCAGCAATCACGAAGCCGCAGTTCCAGAACACCCGACTCAGGGACGGAGAAAGAGACGCGGGCGAGCCAAGGGGTCGAAGGAGGGGAAGCGAGGACGGCGGGGGGCGGGCCTTCCGTGGAGAAGCCCCGCCCCCTCCCTTGCTCGTCGCTGATTGGCGGCGGCGACAGGCCGCCGGGGGCGGGGCGGGCCCGCGCGCTGTTCGGCTCCCCTGTCTGCGCGGGCCGGCCCGCCCGGTGGGCGTGTCCCGGGAGGCGGGCGCGCGCGCGCTCGCTCACGTCGGAGGACCGGAAAGGAGGCGGGGCCGCGGCGGGGCGCGCTCTCGGAACGCGCGCGGCGCAGGAGGCGCGGGTCGCAGGGAGCCGGTCCGCGGCCGGAGCGGGTCCCCGGGGTGCGTGCGGAGCAGGGCTCTCGGGGAGACGGGCGCCATGAACACGGTGCTGTCGCGGGCGAACTCGCTGTTCGCCTTCTCGCTGAGCGTGATGGCGGCGCTCACCTTCGGCTGCTTCATCACCACCGCCTTCAAAGACAGGAGCGTGCCGGTGCGGCTGCACGTCTCGCGGATCATGCTGTGAGTGCGGCCGAGCCGGGCCCGCGGGGCAGGGCGCCGGGGCCGGGCCGGGGTGGGCGCGGGGGCCGCGGGCGGGGCGTCGGCGCCGCCCGGGGTCCCCACCTGAACGGCCGTCGCCCCCGAGGGCGGACGTCCGGGGGGACCGCTCCGGCTTCCCCTCGGACTCCCGGCGTCCTCGGCGAACTCCCGGGCTTGCTCTTAAATGTTCATTCGGAGCGGTCCTCGGTCGCCGCTCGCTTCCTTCCTGTTCCTCACTTCCCTCCGCCCACGCCGGCCAATGAGGGAGCAACACACCAGCACAGCCGCGCCGCCGCCGCCGCCTCCGGGCCGGCCTCCGTGCTTCCCGCGGCGGCTCCTGGGGGCCGCTCGCAGCCTGAGTTCGCGCCCCCGGCTTGACATCCCCTCTCCCGTTTTTGTCTTCCCTCCTCCCGTGGGGCCGTGAATGCTCGCAGCTGCTTTGAAGTTGGCAGGAGCTGTTGGGAGAGCATCGAACATCCCAGCTCTCAGCTCCAGCGTGGTTTTTATTTTTCAAGAGCCAGTCGCTCGAATAAATATGCGAAGATGCCAAAAATGGCATTTCGGAATGACATTGTCCTTTGGCTGATGCCTGGTTTTGTTTTTTTTTTTTCCTTGATAATTTTTACTCTCGGGCACTTTTTTCTTTGAGACGTAGCCTTTTTAAAATTTGGTTCTCCGATCTTTTCCTCCATCCCATCTTCCAACAAGTCCTGTCACGTTCTTCCACCTTAGTGTTGGTTCGTTCTTTGTCAGAATCGCCAACCATCCTGTCATTTAATAGCTAACCCCCTCCTTTTTTTTGGCCATGTTGATGTTTGTTAGACACTATTTTTTAGATTCAAATAGACCCCGGGTGGAAGTCAGCGCTGCCGCTGTCAAGTCCATGAGGGTCTCGAAGAGCTTGGCGCAGAGTAAACGCCGAACAAACAACCGTTAGCTGCTGCTGCTGTTAATCTTGAGCAAGTTTCTTACCATTTTGGGGCGTTAATTTCCTTTTGTCTAAAATGGAAGTAATACCCAACTCGTAGGCTGTTCTGGGGATTATTTGAGATAATTGTGAAACCTGGACCTCACCTGGTGGACCTGACACGTAGTAGGCTGTCAATCAGTAGCAGTTACCATTTTATCTTAGTTTTCCACACCACCTTGTAGTCATCTGTAACTTTCTTCTGCTCCTTCTTCCAGATCTCTCGATAGCAAGTATTTACACTTTGAGCGTTTTTCTCTCCCTCCTGGGTTTTGTTAGGAATTCTCTGAGGTTTAGGAAAGTAGCTGAAGACCTGCTTTTATGTTGGATTCGAATGTTGATCCTGTTTTCACACTTCACATGTTTCTCTGATTTTTCCTTGTTTCTTTGGGCGATTGCGCTCTGACCTGTGCACACAACTAGAGCCTGCCTTGCACGTTATCTGAGGAATGATGTGAATTCTGTGTGCTGTTACGTTTGAAGGATGGTAAAACTTTTATCTTTCCTTCTAGGAAAAATGTCGAAGACTTCACCGGACCCAGAGAAAGAAGTGATCTGGGATTCATTACGTTTGATATAACTGCTGATATCCTTTAAGAAAATATTTCATTGCTTTGTCTGTAGTTGGATAATAATATTCGTCTTGTTTAGTGATTTGGGGGACAATGAGGCTGACTCTCCCCTGAATCAACCAGACCTTGCAGATTTCTATACCTATCAGTAAAATAGTGTTAATACATCCTCATTCACCCCTCCAGAAAACTTAGAGATTCATGAGTTATTATGTGAACATACTTTAAATTCTTCACAGAAATATTAAATAGATGGAAAGCTTCAAGGGACTTTGAATCTGTATTTAGGAAAGAAAAAATGAAATTAGATCATTTAGGTTAAGGAAGGAAGAATGTTACCAGTGCTCATCCTACGTAGATGGAATATTTCACGTACAATCCCAAAGAATATGTCTGTGTTTTTTGATAGCAGAGAGAAACATATATTAAAAAACTGACTTGGATCTGTTAAGGTTCAGAAGGTCATTATCAAAGTGATTATTGGTAGGCCATATTAGCATTTTGTCATAGTTCTTTTTATAAGTACTTTTATAATAAGACATCTTAGCAATTAAAAGAGTTACTTTAAAATGGGGATGACTTAAATATTTTCTCTTTGAATTTCCACCTTTTGACAGCTCTGATCATTTTGGCCAGTTTAATCTTCTTTTAGGGTCTTAGATTAATATCTTGGTAGCATTGTTCCCTGCCACTTCTAGCCTGATTTCACCTGCCTTTTGAAAGACCCCAGGATTCACGTTGGTTATGGAGATTGAAGTGTCTGAATTTGTGTAAAGCAACTGTCTGAACAGTTGGAGCAGATCATGGCCATGGGGAGTTTACCTGCCCCTTTCCTACCATGGAATTACTTTTAACTTGATTTTTTAGAAATAAGTTACTGGGTTTAGAAGTAGAGTAGGAATTAGTTCTAGAGTCACTTATTAAGGAAATAGAGTACACCACCAGAAAACTCCTATGCTAAACTTTGTGTCTGCTTTTAAATCTTCACATCGTTTTTTAAAAAATCTCCTCTAGGGGCCGGCTCCGTGGCCTAGTGGTTAGGTTCTCGCGGTCTGCTGCACTGGCCCAGGGTTCAGATCCTGGGCGCGGACATGACACCACTCTTCAGGCCATGTTGAGGTGGCGTCCCACATCCCACAATTAGAAGGACCTGCAACTAAGATATACAACTATATACAGGGGGGGTTTTGGGAGATAAAGCAGGAAAAAAAAAAAAAGATTGGCAACAGTTGTTAGCCCAGGTGCCAGGTGTTAAAAAAAACTCCTCTAGTAGGAGGGAGTTTGGATCTAGTGTGAAAGCAGGAACTTTGTGTATCTGGAGAATTGTAAGGATATTTCCTGATATCACAACTACTATATTTTATATTCTTAATCTCTTCATTTATAGTTTAGTCAGATTTTCTTAATGATGCCACCAAAACTTGAAATTGTTCTTAGAAAGAGCTTTCCTAGACGTCTCCATTCTCAAATAGTGATTCTTAGTGGATATGCATATCTGAAAGTGGCATGTCACGAAGGTGTTGCTATCAGTACGTAAACACGTATAATCAAATGACAACATTTACATATAATGCTTAATACAATACAACATTAACTCCATTAATTTCTCAGTGGCAGCAGTATTGTAATTAATCTTGGTGAGTTTTTTGCACTCTGGTAAATTGATAAAACCAAATTAGTGTTCAGCTGCATATTTTTACCAAAGCACTTGGTGGATTGAGATATTTTGATCTCGAGTGGCATGTGTCCAAAAGCGACATGTACAGTTTAGTATGCTTGGTTTAATTATGTGTGCCTTGGTCACGTTGCATATCCTTAAATTCAGTTGTGATGATTGGTGATACTTTAGAACTGGGGTGGAATCATGTGCTTGAAATACAGTCCTCTTTCTTTTAGACTTAGGTAGTTGATGTTACAGAAAACTAAATTTTGTATTTATTTTTCTGTTAATCAAAGTATATCAGCCAGTAGTGCTTGGAGGAGCAAGGGAGGATGCTGATAATCTCACTGATCAGTATCAGTATTGTTATGGATAATTAAGAGTAACATCTTTTTAAAAGTTGTGTGCTGCTTCATGATTTGTATATTCCTTAATTTGTTTACATCTAGAGAATATATTTGATTGGAATGTTAAGCAGTTGTTTCTTTATCTATCAGCAGAATATTCAACAAAAAATAATGTAAGTATTTATATACAAGTGTTTTGATAGATATTTAAAACCTCATTTTTTATGAAAGAGGATAAATTTTGTACATTCAAAATACCTGACTGGAGTAGTTTAATGAAAATCAGAAGCCTGTGGAGAAGTGGCTCTACCAAGACATTATCTCCTTTAATAGCCTGTCTTTTTTTCCTGTCTGTTTCTGTCACTCTTTAGCATTGTGGTCTTCAGAATGGAGTGCATGCAAGCTGATCCATAAGTATGTAAGGAAAACAATTAACAGCTACTATTTCTTCTCTTAGGGTTCTAAGAAGAGTTTCCAGGTTTTTAGTTCCTTCAACTTTTTACTTGATGTTAGCATGGAGTGTGGCAACTTCCAAACTCCTTACATGCCATACTGGACACCGGAAGTCTATTTATATGTTTCTCAATTTAAAATAAAAGTTAAACTTTACTACTACTTGCTATGTGGACTGACATCAAGACTCATAGTCAGTTCTTAATTCAGATGGGCACGTGCCTTCTACAACCTGCAAATTCTCCAGAGGAAGAGGAGCAATTCTCTAGGGCCACAGCTTGATCAGGCTACATGCATACATTCAATCAGTCATTTTCAGCATCTTGCAAAGTTTTGCAGAATATACCCAGTGAAGTGGATTGTATTATCTAGTTAAGATAATGCTAATGGTCCTAGCACATGTTAGCAGCAGGAAAATGGCAGAGTTGATATGTCTGTTCCTCTTTTGAGCCGCTCAGCCCCATTAAAGGATTAAAACAAAAAGAGAACCTAGATAGATCTAGATCTGATAAAAAGTTGGCTGAGAAAATTCAGCATTAGTCAAGAAGACTGTTTGAAATGCAAAGTTATATTCACTACTAAGGATGATATTATCTAATGATAATATATATTATGTACATAATTTGTAGATAAAGATACGTATTTTGGGATTTGTGCTCAAAATTTTAATTCATGATCAAAAACCTTAGGAGACCATTTGCAATGATGAGATCAGAAAGGATGTTGCTGCGCTGAGTATACCAGGAAATGGGGAGGCGGTGGTGTCGCTGCTCACTCAGCTGTAGTACCCTTTAAGCTAAAATATTCTGTCTCCACGGCTACGGCTAGAGAGATAGACAGCAAGATATTTGAGTCAACAAAATTTGTGACCTATGTTCTTACCCAGATACGTAATCAAAAGCTGTAAAGATAACTAATTTTTTAATCATCTCTTATTTTAAAATCCATCTAAATATTTATATTTTTCTTTTTATAATACATGATGTGAGCTGTTTTGATAGTCTTATTAAGCTGTGTTTCTGCAATTAATTAATATCTGTCTATTGAGACATATTTTTCTTTGTTTTGGAGTTGTATGGGATTCACCAATTTCAGTACTTAAAGTAGTCTTTTTAATCATAAATAAGGGTTTATCAGAAGTTTTATAATTAAAAGCTATTAAACTATTGGGTTAAAACCTATTAAAACTATTAGTTTGTAATTGAAATTTATTAATTCACTCTGATTTAGAGCTTTTGTTGCAGTTAGAGTAAGGGTTAAGCTATATAGAATATTGCAAAGACAGAAATCTCCTAAAAGTGTAAGGTGGATGATTCTGATAAGTGAATTAAAATATGAAGGTGAACTCTGGAGTTAAAGTGTGCTTCCTGTTGTTTTCACTTGAGTCACCCTGTGTTTGTCATCAGCATAGCCTGGAGGTCTTATAGTTAGAGGTGAGTCTGCTCTTGTCTTGTACTTGAACTGTATTCATTTTCAAGGGATGACAAATTTATCCGTTGATTGGTTTGATTAGTTAATTGGAATTTTATCACTTCCATTCACTGTACATTTATTTGAGCATATGTTTTCTGCCAGGTATTAGGCACTAGGAATATTGAGTTGAATAAGTTTTATCCCTGCCCTTAAGAATCAACAAAATGTTAAAAGGAACAGATAGAAAAAATCATGCTGAAGATGAGTAACAACTGTAAACACATTCTACAGGCCTCAGCAAATTCCCCAAATAACTATGACATCTTGGTGACGGTATACCTAAATTATAGTCATCATTGTCAGTCAGAACCAGCGTGACCAGTAAGTGAACACAGTTTGGGATTTGATAGGTTCTTGCTTTGGTGAATGAATATACATAAAAAGATTTCACTCTGGCATGGCTTTGATTCTCTGGTCTTCAGTCTTGATGTTTCTTTTTAATCTTAAAAAGAGGCTTAAAGGTGAAGATTTGACTCCTCATTTAGAAATAACTCTTCGCAGTTCTCTTTAGTGAACGTGGTCACAGTTTGCTGAGCACTGGCCTCACGAGCTAATGGACGATAGCCTGCTAAGAGCAAATGTCTTGGGATTTAGTAGGGGTCACAAATGTATTTTCTTTTCATTTCATGCCCCTAATTTTCTAGACAGCTTGTTTATGATATGTCAAAATAGCGACTTAAAAGAATTGTCTGACTTGTAGGTTTTACCATAATAAAACAATGATGTGCCTATGTTTTTTAATTTGAAGGAAAAAAATCTTTAAAAGGCTCCATTTCTTTAGTGATTCCGTGATAATTTAAAAACCTCAAAGATACATGAACTTTTATGACATAATCTGCCAGTGGTGACCTGTATTAACAGTGTGATGGAACAGCGATTAGTTCTATCCCCGTACAGGGTCCACACCGGTCTGGAGGGTCTTCGAAATTGTACAGGGAAAAGTGATTTAAAAGAATTCCTCCCTTCCAGGGATTCTAATCCCTTCTGTTTCTCCAAGGACCTCACTCTGGAGAGCACGTGTCTAAAACCTTGTACTAAGTTCTGAGGGCCCTAAGTAATACCTTTGCCTTAGCAAAAGGAATGATTTTCTTTAGGGAGATATCTTTCTTTTGTCCAAGGAAAGTGTGATGCTGCTGCTTGTCTCTAACCACTTGGCGTCATTTTATCTGCTTTAGGATTTTCTCAATTCCCTTAAAGTCGGATTCATTAATACAAATTAAACTGTTTACTTACCAATACTTTTAATTTGACAAAGATGCTATTTCTGATGAGTTGTCTAATTAATTTTCATTTTAATGTAGGCTCTCAACCAAGTTGTCCTTTGGGACAAGATTGTTCTGAGAGGTGATAATCCGAAGCTGCTGCTGAAAGATATGAAAACAAAATATTTTTTCTTTGACGATGGAAATGGTCTCAAGTGAGCAATTCTTTGTCTTTTTTCATTTAATGAAACGTGAAGGGGGGAGAAAGATGTGTTTCTATTCTAAAGAAAAATATTAGAGGGTAAAAAGAGGAAAGTTGAGAGAAAAGAACAGTATTTATACAGATCTGAAGTGGAAGATTGGCTAGAAATACTGCCCCACAAACCAGGATGTCAGATAAGAGCTCAGTTTTTTGGCAGTTTGTGAAATGTAATAGTGACACTAGTCAAGGCCTGTGGGCTCTGCTCGGGAGTGCCCGGGGGGCCTGGGCCTGCTGCTGTGGAGGTAGGATGTTGATGGTTGGAGGGCTCCCTCCGTGACCCATGTGAGGGGGACCTAGCAAGGAAACCGTAGTGAGGAAGCCCGCGCTGGGCTCGGAGTTGGTACTGAGGTTTCTAGTTTTGGTTCCCTTAACTTCTGTGAACCTCGGTTAACTTTTATACAAAATGAAGGCGTTCGAATGGTTGATCTTTTGGGTCATTTTTAGCTCAGCTCTGTGAGTAAACAGGGGAAGCAATTTTAGGGGAGAGCTGTTTTAACCAGACCTCTGCTTTTGCAGATGAAAAATTTCCAGCTGTGAGAGATTTTGATTTGTTAGGTTTGCCCATCTGGATACTGATAGAATTAGGTCTCCAAGCATTGTCTTCTGATTTCTGGCTGATCTCTCTCTTTATATTCTCGGTGTTTTACTCACTCAAGCTTCTCGGTTGATGCTCTGAGAACTGCAACAGTGAGTTTGGCTAGGTCATTGTGGGGTACCTGCACATAGAAGGCTGGTGTTTCCCAGCGCTGTTCTTGGCTTTCAAAAGACTTGAGAAAAGTTTGTAGATTAGGACTCTAGTTAGGAATAGCTGGTTGCATATAAAGTATTTGATGCCTCAATGCTTGAATTAAAATGTTTTTATTGAACTACAAGTGTTTCTGCTGACATCTGTTTATTGTATCTTTTTATAGGGGAAACAGGAATGTCACTTTAACCCTGTCTTGGAACGTTGTACCAAATGCTGGAATTCTACCTCTTGTGACAGGATCAGGACATGTATCTGTCCCATTTCCAGATACATATGAAATAACGAAGAGTTATTAAATTATTCTGAATTTGAAACAACATATTTTTATACTTAATGAAGTGTATCTCATTTATCTCTTCCCTTGCATCTTCTTTTGTTTTTGGTTGATAGTTTTTTTTTTTTTGGTTATAAGAACTAACATCAAAAGGCGTATTTGAAGGGAAAGGTTAATGTGCCACTTAAACTTAATTTTACAAACAAAACACAAAAAAAGAAGGCCACCGGAGCGGAGTGTTAAAAGAATAAGACAACTACATAATAAGGATTTGTAAAAATTAAAATCTGAAGTATTCTCTGTATTTCCATTATTCTTTATGGAATATAAAGTGAGCATGAAGGGTAGTTAAAACTTTCAGGTGCCTGTGGAGTTATGAGAACTCTGTTTTATGCCTTGCATTCATGCAAGTTCACAGTGGATGTGATTTAGAAGTAGACATTCTCTTCTATCTTAGAGTATGTCTGATTACTGGAAAAATTAATATGATTATTTATGAGAAGCCTAGTTTACAAAATAGCCAAAAGTGATGGAGTTTTATTCCATTTGTCTTAGGAATGCCCATAATGCTTGTTTTTCTTACAGGTGACTAGCAACTTTCTCCAGACTTAAAGACTAAATACCTCTTTATATGCTGTAAATCATTCTAACTCATTTTAAAGTCTCTTAAGTCAACCAAATATGTGTCTTTCAGTGCTTTCTCTAAAAATGTTCCATTGTATTATATCTGTGTGTGACTTCTTAGCGTTGCCATTGAAAGTCGAAATATTTGCATGGTTTACCCTCTGAGTTAAGTTTGTTCTAGTGAACATGTCTAGTGCCACTGAGTGGTAATTATGTAAAGTTTTCTGTAGGTCCACATTTTAATAATTACTGGGGTAATAATATTTGGTGTGTTTTTGCATTTACAGGCACTCTTGTGTACTTTACTGTGTGTTATCTTCAATAATCTGATGAGGTTACGTGTAGTGCAAATGTTAGTTCTTTGCAGATGAAGAAACTGAAACCCAGAAGTTTGTTGACTTGCTTCAAGGTTACATAGCTAGCAAGGAATGGTGTTAAAACTTGAACACAGATCTGAATTCTCTGAGCTTGTCTTTTCTCCTATACCTCAGATTACAGACTAATCAAAATTTACTTATAATTTTCGTTATATTTATTGTGACCATGGACACCCTTTCTGTCATACTCCTAGAGGAGATTTCCCATCCTGTATGGAAGTGACTTAATTTTCAAGCTGCCAACAACTTATATAGAGGCAATATCTCGATTAATTTTACTTACGATAAAAGTATAAGAATCTAAATATATGTAAAAATAATTCGGAGATTAAGTACATAATAGTACGTGATTAAATATATGATCATATTTAACATGACTTTTTTCTACATGGGCAAATAAACATCCTTCTCAAAGGAAGCAACCACAAGTCCATTCCCTCAAGCATGACCAAGCACTGTAGTTACATGGTCAGCAGTTAACAAAGGGCTAATATTTTCTAAGAGTAGTTTAAATTAATATCTAATTTATTATATTTACCTTATATGAAATACATCGCCACTAAATTCCATTAGTTTTAACAGCCGTTGCATGTAAGAGCATGTGTTCATGTGAAAGGTCAAAGTTATAGGATCATGAATGCTGGACGGGGTTTGGCTCCCAAGTTTTTTATTGAACTTTTCGGGGGCTCAGTTTCTTTATATGTAAAATGACAGATTGGACTAGTTAATTAGATAGGGTTTGTTTTACACCACGCAAGTCTGTAAAGTGTATTGTATCTCTTCAGCGGAGAGATGAACACAAGAACACCTTCGTGATGTGAAGACAGGAAGATGATTGAAAGACTAATTAACACACAACTCACATTGATCTGACTTTATTTCTGTTAGAGTTTACCTCCAGAAAATTTAACTTCATACAGTTTGTACAAATACTAGACATGGAAACACAATCTTCAGGCGTCAAAGCTTAAAACTTGAGTGTGTTCTCATTAAGGAATGCGTGCACAGTAAGCCTGCAGTCCTGACCAGACCTGGGTGCTGGTTCAGTAGTCGGTCATCCCTCTGTGCTGAGTGGGTCCATCGTGAGGTGGAGATGAGTGTTGACGTTTACCTGAGTTAGTGTATTTGACAAGCCCACCCACTTTTTTGGAATTTGGTGAGGAAGAGGAGTAGAAAGGCCCAGCCAGCACAATGGATAAACAGCGTTCTGTTCTTTCTCAACTAAGGGGAACTGCTCAGGACTAGAAGGCTCCAATATGGGAATAGGAAACCTCTGTCTCAGGAACTCACTTTTGGGTGTGCACAGCTTTGTTCGTTTACCATGATTCTACTTTAAAAAAAAATGGACTTTTGTTCAGTTTGATAACCGTGTCATCTACCTTAGTGTCAGTGTTTTAAAGTAGTCTTATAAAGTCTCCACAAAGACCCAAGGCTTCATACTTAAGAAAACCTAAGTGTGAATAGAAATGTATGAGCCCAGAGATGATTCTGGGAAAAGAGAATAATTGCAAGACACTTATGTAATTACAGTTAGAAGTGAGTTAATTTTAAAAGATAGTGCTCCCTTTTCTCTAGCAATTTAACCTAGACAAGCAGCTGTATCAGTGTTTTTTATTCCCCCAGTTGATTACAGCTGGTTTCTTGATGCTTAAAAGAAAATAACGAAAAACTTAAGAAATTCCTTAGGGTGTAATAGGAAAGTGGATATTTTGGATTTCCTTTCTTGGAATTATTTTACAGTTCTTTGATGGGTCTGGCCAGCCTAGTAATAGCACTGAGAGACGGGCTTTCAGGTTACAGTGAACACTTTTCACCATGGTGTCTAAAGCTTAGTGAGCTAAAGCTTTGGATCTTTGACGTATAGGTTAATGGAGGTGTTATTTTCTAATACTTTGAATTGACATGAAATGGGTTTATGGGGAGAAAAAACCATAAGCTGTGATCTTTGGTTGTAAACAAACATCTATCCTATTTCAGAAGCTTTCCTTGGTTTTAGGAGAGCCCGTGTACCTTTCATGTGCCTGCCAGTGGTTTGAAGAGATCTGTTCCAAAAAGTTGTTGCATGTTTTTGATGCAATTCGGGAAATTGTTTATTTCACAAATACAGATTCATAAGAAAAAAATCGTGAAAATACTGAAGCTATGTTTGAGGATTTTCTTAATTGCAATAAATAGTCAGCATTTTTTCTAATGAAAATGAATTTTGTTTACGAGTAAAAGTATGCATTTTAAAAGACTTTCAGATTTATGCTTTTTACGTGAAGCGCTGAACTAAAAGAAAATAGATGAAACTAAATCTAGTAAACAAGTTTTTTCTTTGTGTGTAATTGTGTGTGTGTTGGTGGGGGGAGGGGCGAATTTGATTGATTACACCTGGAACACCTTTTCCGGAGACTTTGCTGCTCCAGAGACTGTCAGCTCTGTGAGGGCAGTCCTGTCAGATTGATCTTTGCATCTTCCCTGGCACACGGCACATTGCCTTGCACACAATAGACTCCCAATAAATACTGGTGAGGAATGAAGCCATTCTCTTTGTAAAGGGACCAAACCATGGGGGCTGCGTTGCAGTTAACACTCCTCCTTTGTGAGGCCTGCCCTTTTCATTCTTGAGCTGCTGGGGACGTTAGATGTCTTTCCCTTCAAGCCCAGTTGAAGGGCTCTGTCAAGACAAATGCTGCTCTTGGCTCCAGCTGCCATGACCCATGTTCTCCCTGTTCGGAGCTTTTCATAATATGAGAGCCAAGGGAGACTGACCAGGTGAGAAGATTGATAGGTAAATTGCTTTACTTTAAATAACTCTAGGAGAGGAAAACAGACCTGACTATAAAAAGTCTCAAAATGTCTGTTTAGCTCATGAAGAAATGAGTTGGAATATACAGCTGACCATTGAAAGTCTGGTTTGCCCAGCCTCTCCCCGCTTCTTGGGCCCATCAGCTGGTTTGGCTTACAGCTGTCACAGCTGGCTCATTGCACTACACTAAGTTTACTGAGTTGTGGAAATTCTGTTCCTTTTTATCTCAGAAGAGAGAGGAGTTTCTCAGAGAACATTAACCAATGGACTCAGATGACTGAAATGATAGAAATACTCCCTCCAGAGAATAGAAAATCAATTGAGTTTAGAGGGTAAGCTTTTTTTAAATCTACGTGTGTTTTTTTCTGGGATGATGCAAGAGGTCAGCTAGATTTTGCTTTTTCTGTTTTCTCCAAACCTGGGCAATCGTATGTCAGAGCTTCAGTCCTTAGACGTTTTCTCTTGTGCTCCTTTGTCCCTTTCCTTCTGTCCAGGTGATATGTTACAGCAAGAATTCTGGGTGCGGCAGACCATTGCCTGATTCATGAGCTGTCCCTGCAGAAAGAAAATTGGTCACTTCAATATGCGTGTGCCTTAGTCTATCTGAGGAGACCTCAAGCTTGAAATAGCTTCTTACCTGGGCCTTTCCTTCCCACTTGAGAATAGTGAAAAGGCATTTCTCTTTGAAATACGTGGAGTCAATGCATATCCCACTGTGTATTTGTTGAGGGGAGTTGGAAATAGGCATCTGGAGTTGAAAGTAAAGGTGCTGATCAGTAGTAGATGCTTGAGACGAAAGAGCCTCTGCTCCTTCCTTCTTAGTGCCACCCTCCTGTGCCACCAGCCCACTCCCTTGTTTCTCAGGGGCTTGGAAGGGCTGTGGCCTACCTGTTAAATGAGAGAGTTCACAGGGCGGCTGTGAGTCAGGATGAGGACGGTGCTGAGATTCTCAGAGGGCTCTGGAACAAGCTCAGCTCGAACTTGAGGGAATTGGATCCTGTTAGAAGACTTCCCCAAGTTGTCTGGGCGTCTCCCAGGTTGGAGAAGTCTGGGGCTTAGGCTTATCCCATTGCTGCAGCCTCTGCTGCTGCCTCTGAGACCCCTGAATGTCATAATACTCAGTGCAGAGATAGGCAGGCACTAGTAATACTGTAGCTGGGACCCATGTTCCCTTGTTATTGAAAGTTTGAAAATACTGTTATATTAGGAGAGACTTGAGTGCCACCTGCCTGTTGTCCTCAGCTCACCTTTGAAAGCCCAATTAAATTCTCTTTGTTACTAGTTAAAATAAGACTGACTGCTGTAATAGACATCATCACAAGAAAATAAGAGTTCATTTCTTGCTCCTGCAGGGGACTAGTGTGGTTTTCAGGCAGCTTTTGACATGGCGTGACTGAAGGACCCACGTGCCTCCTACCTCGGGACGGCCACCCCAGGGCTCTCAGTCCTAAACTTGATGCTCACTGACCAGGGGGAGTGGTGAGGGGGGGGGGGGGTGGAATGGAGAAGGCCACCTGCTTAATTAGCTTGGCCCAGAAGTGTCACATACCACCAAGTCATGTTCCAGGGGTGAGAACGAATTGCATGGCCTTGCATAGACTCATGGGGCGTCTGGGAAGGGGACTCTTCAGCTGGGCACTCACTTCTCAGGAACAGGTATATGATGGGTGAGAAGCATGACTCCTGCGAGCTGCCATCTGTCACTTTTTGCCTGTGCTCACCAGCTTTGCCTGACCAGCCCCTGCTGTATCCCAGTAGGGGATAACCCATTGATTTCGTCCATATCTTGTCTGGAGTATGTAGTGTTAAGGATTTTCTGAAGGCTGAACATATTGGATTTTAAGAGTTAGGTTTTAAAGCACTTATCAGGCATTATAGTTACTTGACAAATCTAATCTTTCTAGCCTAGTACTCCCTCCAGAACTTAGAGTAATTTTTTTTAAGCTTCAATGAAGGGGCGCTTAGTTTATATTTTGATTTTTTTCATGATAAGGAGAGCTATGTTTCTTTGTTTTTTCAGTACCTCTACATACAAGGTACTTAATACATATTTATGGAATGGATTAATGAAAAGCAGCAAAATGAGTGTGAATAATAAAACTTTAGTTATATTAGTTTACACAGGTATGTTGTCTGATGTAGGATGGCGTTGCAGAACATTCCATGACAAATTTTCAAAGGATAAATGAACTTTTTTTTAACTGTAAAAAGTTGTCTCATAGTCATATCTCTTGGTAATAATGCTTAATATTAAATAATGGAGAAGAAGGTAGAGATATGGAGTAACTTATGTTTGAAATGAGTAGGCAAAGGACAACCATAAATTCTTAGAAGTTTATTTTAGGTCTTTTGCCTGTTTTACATTTTTAATAGGAAAAAGGAAACAGAAGTGCATGAAATATTTGTATATAGGTGAATAATTACACAGCATGCACATCTGTAGCCACTACTTCCATCAACAGAACAATCCCACTACCCCAAGCCCCCTCCCTGTCCCTCTTCTGGATCACAACCTCTTCCCTCTCCAGTGTCTTCATTTTTGTGTTATTTTGTTAGCTTTACTTGAAAATTTTGCTACCTATGTTGCATGCTATTAGTTTTGCCGCCATTACGAACTGTAGCAACATCTCAGCGGCTTACAAAAACAAACATGTATTTTTTGCCTCGATGAGGCCTTAGGATTGGCTTAGGGTGTTCTCCCCATGTGTTCATTCCAGAATCCAAGTTGAAAGGACAGTTCTTTTGAGGCAGAAACTTGATGCCTCTTGGAGTCTCTGATTGAACATGGCAAGCATAGGGTCTACTCTTCATTGGCTCAAGTGTGTCACGTGGCAGAGCCAAGAGTCTAAATTCAACAGGGGCTAGTGAATCTCATGGCACTGCGTAATCCTCTTATGGGGACAGGGAGAGAATTCTCGCGAGTAATGATGTAATTTGTCATACATCCCTAAGCGATATAAGTTAGTTTTGCTTGGTTATGAACATAAGTGGATCTTACCATAGGAGTTTTTTTGTGTCTTTTGTGTCTGCTTCAGCTCAGCATTACGTTTAGGAGATTCAGTTATGTTTTGTGTGAAGCTATAGTTTATTCATTTCATTGCACGTAGTAATCCAGTGCTTATAGTAATCCATAGCAATCCATCGTGTGCGTAATTGATTTACCTACTCTGCTCTTGATGGACAGGTGCTATGAATATTCTTGCACAGGTAGCCTGGTATATATGTTTGTGTTTCTCTAGGAAAGAGACCTTCAAACTTTGTTGCTTGCATAGTGCATAAAAGATTTGTGGGAAAACAAAGAATCTCTAACATTATTAAACATCTAAAATTTTCATCTTGCTAAAATAGTATAGCCCAAGTAATTTTTGGCATATTGTAAATATTAGCATTTTAAAGACTTACATCACTTTAAAAAATGTATCTAAATATATCAGATGGAATATAAATGCTACAATGATTTGATATTTTTAACCATTTTCTAATGAACAAATTCTTCCTCACTGTTAAAAATTTTATCATTCTCTTTTCTTCTTAAAATCATGTATGTATGCCTTTTCCCCAGAAAAATTCTATCCTAATGGATAATAGTAGAGAGAGTTCTATTTTCAAAAGTCTTTTCTTGATAAAGCTATCACGCTTGTTTGCAACAAAAATACGTACATAAATTGGAGTTGAGCTTTCAAAGTTTTCTGTGACCTCAATGTTTTAATGTTTAAAAGTTATTTTGGTTAGTAAGTTATTTCTATAATCAGCAATAGTAAAAACTGATCAAAATGATACGTATATTACAAATTTTGATAAATAATTGCTAAATAACTGTAACTCTTAGTGAGATGGGATCAATAAAAGAGTGCTTTTATTAAGGGAATTGTCCAATTCTCTCTCCACCGCCAAGGTTTCCTCCCTGTGGCAACATGCCCTAGTAAGATCCTGGAGGAGCACGCCTTCCCTCGTGAGGGGAGCTGGAGAAGGGGGACCACAAGCTGGGGTGTGTTGTTGCCAGATCAGTTTAGAAGAGCGCAGAGCTGGTTCCCATAAAGCAGTCTGTCCCCATGAACAAAGTGTCCTATTCTCCCTAATTGCAGACCCCAATCTGACAAACACACCTAACATTGGAAATGTCTAAGTCTTGGAGATTCCGATTATTATCTTTACTGCGTAATCCCAAACTTTCCCAAAGTGGTTTTCCCAAGTGTTAAGTTCTCTTTGCTTATACTTCATCTGCATTTGGTTTTGCAGATCTTAGTTTTTGCCAGGCTGGTGGATGTCCAATGGTATCTTATTCTGGTTTCAGTTTATGTTTTTTTGATTTCTAAAAGGTTTGACTTCTTTTCAGATGTTTATCATTCATTTGGTTTTCTTGTGTAAATGTGCCTGTTCAGGTCTTGCCCCTTCTCTATTGTCTATCTTAATTGACTTGTAGAATTCTTCAGATGGTCTCAGTTTGAGCCTTTTGTTAATTACACACATCACATTCTGGCTCACACTTTCACTCTTTTCATGGT